ATGGATCTTGGCAAAAACCAATAATGACCAAGGGTAAACTCCAACCTATGCCAGAGAAAGTGCACACAGAAGCAAAGACTTTCCGCACAGTGCAGAGATTGCTGAGAAGCCAGCAGCCTTCTGGCCAATGATGTGCTTGCAGATAAAGACAGAAAATTGAGTCAACACAAATGAAGGTGAAAAGATTGCAATGATTATTCTCTACTGCTGACTGTTCAGATTGATGGGATGACTGCTGTCCTGAACATGAGCACAGATAGGCCCATAACAATCACAGCATGTTATGGGCCTATATATAAGTGTATAAATTCCCTCCCCAGAACACTACTGGTGCCTAATCTGCCTGCGGGGATGCCTACACCATAAACTCTGATGGAACCTCCCTGAAAAACTATCAAAAAGGTACAGACTGAGGTTCCCTTTTTATTTCATACTTGGATCAAAGTCCTTATGGAGGTTTGGTGGGAGAGAAGGAAGCACCTATAAGAATGGATTACAGCTCTACAATAAAACCTGGGTGTCAGGACTCAAGCCTTGAGTCAGAGAGGCTTGAGGACCGTTTTATCAGCGCCATTGCACGCAGCCACTGGGGCGGCTAAGCCTCTCAGAGACAAAAGGCTGCCTGAATCACTGTAACCTGCATGCAGACCTCAGTGAGAATGACAACACAAGTGATTCAGACCTCACAAATACATGAAAGCCACTTGTTTAAACAAGCTTTCAAAATTATTTCCAATTTTTCTAATTTATCAATCCAGTAATATGACAATGATCATCTGTTATTGTGGTTAAATCATAAATGCCCTTCAGAGGTGCATATGCTAAAGACTCGGCTACCAGGCTGTGGTGCTATGGGGAGGTGGTGGGGTCTTTAAGAGGTGATGATCTTCTGGGAGGAAGTGAGGTCATTGGGGGCGTGGGCTGGAAGGGGATATTGGGACTCTAGCGCCTCCTCTTCCTCCTTTGCTTCCTGGGTGCCTTAAGTGAACAGGTTCCTATCACTCTGCACTTGCACCATGATGGTCTGCCTTACCACAAAGCAATGGCACAACTTACGAAGAGAACAGATTTATTTTGGCTCACAGTTGCAGAGGTTTCAGTCACCTCTGCAACTGTGAGCCAAAATAAATCTGTTCTCTTCGTAAGTTGATTTGCTCAGGTATTTTGACATAGCAATGGAAGGCTGACAGACACATTTATGTACAAATTTTTGTTCAAATCTCTGTAACAATTTGAAACGTAATTACCTGCTACAGTTCATTAGGATTGTAGGCTGTCATGTGGAAACCAACTTTGGTTTCCCTTGGGTCCAATTGTAAGGAATTGGAAAAATATTTAATACTTCGGATAATGGGACACAAGTGCTCAGAAAGTTGCTGTTTTCACTTTAACCCATGAAAGATATTCATGAGCTACAGATTGAAGGCTTCTGAGTTCTGCCCTTTTCCAGGTGATGACTGGCCTGTAGGGCCTTGGAAGCAAGCAGTTTGCTCCTTCATTACATTGCTTAATACAAATAGAATTCTTTCTTATTTATAGGATAAACGGCATCTTGAAAAGGAATATGTGAGGGCTTTGGTAAAAGCCTGATTGAAATGCTGTTGCCCAGAAACAAGCCAGGAGTCTCACCTCACAATTTCTTGTTTACCTGGACACCCCCACATCCCTAGCAAAGCTGTTCTGGCCGAAGAAGCTATAGGAGGAATCTCTAGTCAGAGGGAGGGAAATTTACACTTAGTTTCTTCATTTCACTCTCTGCTCTGATAATATCAATAATGACATAATGTTTGTAGGGAGATGCTAAGAGGCATCGCTTCAAGTCTGAGGGTTGATGCTTTCCATGACTTTCCTAGTTGACTGGCTTCTGGCTTCTTGGAGATGACCCTTAAGTGGCAGCCTCAGGCCTCAGCAGAGCTCACACAGCTGAAGTGACTTGGCCCTGGGCTCCCACTGCTGGCCCAGCGTGCAGGTGGGGGAGGGTGGAAAAGGCTATGCTCCCTACAGGTCTAGGTATGACAGGGTACCAGCTCTCAGATACGTGCATCTACCCCAGATTTGGCTGCCCTGGAAGAGTAGGTGACCCTGACTAATGGCTGACTGGTGCTGTGAACTCTGTGCCACCTAAGAAGTTGAGCTGCGGTGACAGAAGAGATTCGCAGCAGGGGTGGTGGCTGAGACAGCAGCACGGACACATTTAGTTCTGACTTCAAGCCACTACTTTTCCTTTTCTAAGCCCTCCCATGCACGGCATCCGTTACCTTCACGGTAACCTTACAACATAAAGATGAAAACGATCTCTTTACAGCCAAGTCAGTGGAGGTCCAAGGAGGTCATATAATTTCCTCAAGGTCGTGACCGAGCCAGGATTGAAATCCAGGCAGTGTGATTGCAGCTCTTGAGCTGTGAACCATGCCAACCTACATGGAATGGTGCTTCCATCAGAGCCATAATGGCCCTGGGTCAGCCAGGAAACGCTTCAGCAAGGCCCGGGGAACAGCAAACTATTTGAAGAGTGACCATGTTAATGACCCATGGGCCAAGGCAGGACATGAAAATGGAAAGGACATGAGCGCTGGGAAGGAGTGAGACTCCCAACAACCTCGTAGCATCACCCTGCACCAGTCTCACAGGGACGAGGAACTCTGGGTAATTGGACAATGGTGCTGAGACACAAGGATAGCTCTTTACTATTCATGAGGCTCTTAGCATTTCTCTTCCAAATTAGACATCAAAATCATTACAGAAGTTAAGTAGGAAAGAGTGTTGGCTCCAGGAACCTTTTAGGTGCATGCTACAAATTACACGTTGTAAAGCAACGAGCGAGCATATAATAGTTGCTTTTACTACAGCGTACGAGGCAACCCGCATTCCCAGTGCCTTAAAATTAAAAGAAATAAATGTGAGGAAAAAAAGAAGAAGCCATGGGGTATAATGAACTAACAGAATACATTCCTACTCTCCAGTGATAAAGGACTTTTAGTGAATAACATTATTATGAAAGTAGTTATTTTTTTGAGGTCAGGGTGATGTCACTTGGATGGGAGAAAAATTCACATACTACTTGTAAACATTAGCACCTGCTGTGCTTCCAAATCTGCTTATGCATAGATTAGCAACAGAAAAAGCACGCACACACACACACTCTCTCCCTCTCTCTCTCGTTTTCTCTCCCTCCCTCTGTCCCTTACACATTTAGAAAGAAAGCTGTCACGTTTTAAATAAAGCTGAGACCTTAAATTCATGCCTAATGTTTCCATTGTGCTCGTATAGTTTTTATTTTTATTCTAGTCCTCCAGGTATTCTGCCCCAATAAACAATCTGAATCACTGGAAGAGCTGCAAAAGCTACAAAATGTTCACTCTGGGAACATTTTCCCCAAGTGTAAATTATTGGAAGGCTGTTTATATAATTCATGAAAATCTGCAGTCTCGTGTCCTGTTAATCTTGGTGAATCCACCCTACTGACACAATCTTGCTTTGAGTCTATGCTTAAAGATTGGATTTATTCCTTCAGCTTATCATGAAGAAAAAGAAATGAAATTGTACTTTCCGATGCATGTAATTTGGCGTCTGCACATATTTGCTGAGGTCTATCACCTCTATAGTTTTTCACTCTTGAATTTGTCAAGGCTTAAGCTAAGCAGGGCGAGTCTCTCCATACAGTTCTGGGGCTTTTTGATAATATTAACTTTATCATGTGAAGCTCTCATTCATTCCCAGTAACTTGATTTGCTGAGTGATTGCTCGCTACTCATCCCATAAGAACTGGGAACTACCACAATTTTTAAGTATTTTAGATTATAACAAGGCTACAATCATCATTTTTCTTTTAATGCTCTCCTCTATTTGGGTGTTTCTATCACAACAGGATTTGGGCTAAGTCATTTCAACAGGAAAAGCGCAAAATGTCCTCCCCTTCTGCGCCACGGCTTGCTGGTTGCTGAATGAATTCTGATTGTTTTTTTTTTTTTTTTTTTTTTTTTTTTTTTTTTTTGAGACAGGTTCTCACTATGCAGTTTAGGATGGTTTTGAATGTACTTTGTAGCCCAGGCTGGCTTGGAGCACACAATAATCCTCCTGCCTCAGCCTCCCAAGTGCTAGGGATTATAGGTGTGTGCCACCACGCCCTGCTTTGCTGTATGAATTCTGAAACATTTTCCCATAGAAAGGGAAAGAAGCAAGGATCCTGGAGCCTGCCCAGCTACCTGTTGTGGAGACTCACAGACCCGGGGTTAACTTGGTCTTCTCCTCCACTGCTGGACCCCAGGGGCAGTGCCCAGTATCTCTGGCCTGCTGGATACCCTACACTTTGTTCTTCCACTGCTGCTCCTAAGCTAACCCGCACTACTGTCCTGGCTTAGTTTCCCACAAGCAGCTGGGCTTATCATTCAATAGAAAAATGTATCATATTTCAATTCACTGCTTAAAGTCTTTTGATGGTTCCCCTGCCCTTCACCTATAACACACCCTGGCTTCCAACCCCATTCCACATCTCGGTATTATACCTCTCTCCCTTGTTTGCTATGTCACCACCAGTCTGGGTTTCTATATATTTTTTGAACAAAGAAAGCTCCTACCCACACGAAGCCTGCCTAGACTGCTTCCCCCAGACCTCTGTCAGCTGAGTTTCATTTGATCACACAGCTCTCAATCCAGAGACAGCTTTCCCTGCGGGGCCCATCGAAAGGGACACCCTGCTTTCACGGAAACACTGCCATGTCGCTGTTCTGTTTGCTTCCCACTTTAGGAATGAGTGAACAGCTCTTTGGGTGGTTGAAGGGTTGGAGGAGCAGTAGTTAACGGCCTTGTACTCTGTGAGCCAAAGAGCCCAATGGTCGGCTTCTCAGTGCTGGGGACGGTTTAGGTTTATGGTGCACCAGCCCATGAGTGTTGTGTGACCTAGCCCACCTGCCGCATTCTCCAAATCTGTCTGCCATCCCTATCATCAGAACAAGGAAAGACGAGACCCCTCAGAGAATGTGCATCAAACAGTCACTCACTTATAGTGGATCCGGACTCAGGCCTGTTCAGGGAGCTGATGATGACGAAGCCGAAACCTTCGTTCTCCTTGCGGTGAATGACCACGTCGCTGGTCTGCAGGCTGTGGGAGGTGAAGCCTTCGGGGGGAGAGGCGTTGCTGCTGGGGGCAGCGTGGTTGCTGTTGCTGTAGGTGGCGTAGTCACTGCGTGGAGAGCTGTGGTGGGTGGATATGGAGCCCGGGCTCCTCCCATTCTCTGGGCAGGGCTCCCCTGGAATACACATCACACACAAGGAGGCTGTTGTTTAACGAAGGTCTTAGACTGGCTGACTGCTGTGCAGAGCATTGGAAGGGCTGTGAGCCCCGGTGTGGAATCCCTTGGTCTGGACCCCATTCTGCTCTCTTGAAAATACAAGCAAAACCCCATGTGAACCCCTGTGTTGCCCCTGTTCAGACCTTGCTCTCTTTGGAACTGCAAACCCAGGACAAGGCTGACCCTTAGACCTTGAGCATCTCGGGTGCATCATACGTGACCAAAGATGATCCTAAAAGAAACACACAGAACCCTAAACTGCAGGGCAAATATGAATCAGTTACGGTTCAGAAGGGAATGCGTTTTCAGGGCCCCCCAGGGAAAGATTGTTTCAGTGGGTCTGGTGAAGATTAGGTACAGAAATCAGACCTTTGAGGAATGCAGCTATAGAGGTGTGTAGATAAGGTAGACCTAAGGAGCCTGGGGGGTGTCATTACAAAGTGACCTACCTTTTTGTTAAAGGTCGTACTTCTATTTTGTGATATTGTGAGAACCTAGAGTTCTTAATTTGTTTCATGTAGTGTGGGAAATGCATTCCTTATAAGTGTCTGCATGGCTTCTGTATGCTTACCGTATGTCAATAAAGTGTTTTATAAAGTGCTTTTTTTTCATTAAAAAAGTTTGCTCATTGTAAGATCAAATCTAATAATGATACCGGGCTAAAAAGTTATGAATTTTGAGTCTCTATGGAGGCGTTGGAGCTTTTGCTTATTTATATTCCATATTACTAAAGATAATCTATTCATCAAAGGCCAAATCGACTCCTCCACCAGAAAGGAAGCACAGAGGGCAGAATGACGGAAAGCTGGCAGCCAAGCAAAGCCGGTTTCTGAAATGAAAGCTATTCTGTCATCCAGAGAGAAGGTTTTCATTTTAATTTATTTATTAGCACTGTATTAAAATAACTGAAGCGAGCACCTAGAATACTGTAATTAAAAACAAGACTCTTTCGTTTCCCTCTTCAAGTTCAGTTAATGTACTCAACAGCGTTTATGGAACAGGAATTACACAATGGAAGGTGATGACCATTAGCGATTCCTTTTTGGGTCTTTCTAGACATTGTCTTCTGCTTGGAACCACATAAGGTATCTCACATGGCAACTCACAGAGAATCAGGCAAAGCTCCGGCGGGAGCTCTGAGCCTCACAAGCTGAAGTTGTAGCAACCTAGACGGTAGTTTGGGTCTGTAGTGGCCCTAAACGGCCCTGTGTAAGTGGCCATGAACCACTGGTGGTCAGGGCCTTGTGGGAGGTCTTCTGGTCCCGGGGGTGTGTCCCATGCACTCCCTTCCTCTCCTCACTGCCTGAGTGACACTGCTCATTCACATACTCCTGAAGGATGCGCTGCCCCTGCCCACAACAGCAGGGCCCCTGGCTCCTGAACTGAGGCCTCCAAAACCATGAGCCGACAGAAACCTGTTCTCTTCATACACTGATGTATCTCAGATATTTATTATGGTAACAGGAAGCTGATACCAATGCTAAACGAAAAAGAACTAAAACTGTAAGGCATGTTTTGTTACCCTGATACCCAAAGAAGCAGTTGCATTTATTCACATTCCAATTTTGAAAGTGGCCTTTCATCGGTTAAAAATTAAAGCAAGACAAAAACAAAAACAAACAAAAAAAACCACAAAGTGAAATGCAAAATAACTAATTAATAAAATGAAAAGGGCTTTACAAACATGCTCATTTCTTGTTTATAATTATGGAGTGAAAGAGATGCAAGCTATTGGTTTTCTTATTTGATAAATTTGAGTTTTCCCAATTAACAGAGATTTTAATAAACAAAAAAGATGCTTTTCCTTTGTAAGAAACCTACCAAGGTCATGAAAAAACAAAATGTCAATGTCAAAGGCTTGCCCTTTTTGGAACTAGAATTTAAAATTTCTGTCTCTAAAATGCACCCTCCCTGTGAGGAACACCATCCAGAGACAAGCTATTTTTGTGTTGGCAAAGCACATGTCCTTTATCAGTCCTTGCGCAAGTTGGAAATAAAGTGATTAGAGATAGTCTGGAAGAAGAAAAACAAACAATTATTGTGCTGCTACATTAAATTGAAAATCTCCCTGAGTTATTGAACCAAATCAGTAACTAAATGTCATAGGCAGTGACAAGAGAGATCTCATTTTCTGGCTGTCATATTTTAGGGGGTCGAGAGCTGTGGTTGTCAGTAAATCAGCAACAAAGAGAAATTATCTGTCTTTGTAGTAAATGGCTGGGAGTGGCTGTGTCACCAGCTCTAGAGGGAGAAAAGAAATCATGGGCTGAACCAGCTTGCGAGGTCCCGGTAAGCAACGGAGCCAACTGTGCGTGCAGAATACTTCTTGATTGCGTTTGGACTCCTCCTTCAACCCCCAGAAGAAAGTTCCTTATCTTTAGCAGAACGAGCATACTTTAAATCAAGAAGTTCAGATAACTTCTAAGTTCCTTCTGGGATTGCTGGGGTCCCTGACATTTGAAAATTGGCACCACGATTGTCTCTGAGGGCTGGAACTCATCTCCTAACTCTGTTTCACGGCTCATGATCCAAGTGCGACTGCCTTTCCAACAACTCCTGTCTGGTTGTTTCAGAACAATACAATAAAATGTCTGAGGTGACCAGATACCCTGGGCATTAAAAAATTCATTTCCAAGATCCCTGTTGTAGTCTTCTAGTTCATAGTGAAAGTACAGTATTCAGTCATTTAGTGCTTGCTAAAGTCAAGCAACTCATTTTTAGGTTAAATTTCCATTTCATGTCCACCAGCAATCCTGGAAATCATCGCGGCTGACCGGGTCCCCCTTTTGGAAGGGTTGGAGTTGTCAACAAAGCCTACTGGGTGAGACATGCATAGCAGAAGGATCTTTTGCTTCTGGTTTGTGCAAGGCCAGCCTAATTGTTAAAACTAACTCCACTAATTGTTAAAACTAACTGCCAATATTCATAGTAGGGAGATTTCACAGAAATAGGGATTTCTGGTTTCTCTTGAAATACTTGGCAATAAACAGCCAGAACTGGGTACTGGCTGCTCCTTTCCCTGGGTATGTGGTATCCGCTCACCATGGTCCTTGTCATTTCCAGTGCCTGTTACAAACACCAGATTTACACATTTATTCACTCACTTACCCAGAGCATGAGGAGCCCCTCAGGGCTGAAGGGACTTTAGCCAGAACCTTCCTTTTCTTCCTAGACCAGACTCTGGGCACCACGACTCTAGGATTCTGTAACTGGGGGTACCTTGCCTGATTCAGACTGAGACTGAGCCTCTTCTCAGATAGCGCCCTCGAAGAACATCAGCCCTGCAGCTGGGCATACCTTGCCTTGGCACCTGGCCGAGGCAATGGGGCGCATGTGTGGATGAACTGTGACACCTGGGTGTGTGTGCCAGTCCCTCATAGTACCTTAGGGTGCAGAGGCAGCCCAAGGTATGGCCCTGCAAATGTTCAGAGCTCCCAGTCTGCAAGGATTTGGGTGAGTACTTCTGACTCAGACTCCTCACAGCAGACACCTTAGTGAAATGGGTGACAAAGGACAAGGGATACATTCAAAATGGACAAAGCAAGGTGACCAGGACTGTGGGCACACTTGTGCCCAGCTGCCAGAGAAGCCTTCCCTTCCTCAGCATTGTGCTGAGAACGAGACTTCCCCCGGGCGTCAGGGAAAGATGCTGGGCTTCCAGACCGACTCTAACATGTTTTGATTAAGTCATGAAACTTTCTCTTCACATCAGTTCAGATTTACACTTCAGGGATTCCTCAGAGACACCCCCTCCTGAACAAACGGTGCACATTCAAAATAATGTGTCAGGAGGTTGAGTATCTCAAAGCTGAGCCACCAAATACATAAATATTTATACTTCCAGCCTAATAATTAAGGCTGTTTCACCGGTACCCTTAGGGGCAAAAATGCAAAGAAGGTACCAGAGCGGGTGGTGTATGGAAGACATCTTCTCTCAAAACGTGTTCGAGGTGTAAGGTCGGCGCAGGGCGTGGGTGGTAAACAAACCCGAGGCAAAGCTGCTTCCTTACCTAACCACCGCTCTCCTTGGAAGATCTGGCTTGCCATGGCCTAGCTAAAATGTTTGCTTATCTTTGCCGTGTACGTTAGGGTTAGGGTTAGGGTTAGGATTAGTTGATAACTTCACGTTGGGAGCAGGCTTCTGTGTGGTTTTAATTGTTGTTGCTAGCCTGCCTGTGTCTCTGGTACAGCTGCGGTCTTTTTCAGAAGCATCAGTTAGGAAGCCGGAGGCCTCTTCCCTGCAGGTGAGGAAGGGAATTTGCAGGAAGCCAGGGGGCGAAGGGCAGCTGCAAAGGCCTCATCCCCACCACCCTCACCCACCCCAGCCCTTTGTGCACCGTGCTGCCCTCCGGAACCATAGCGGCACTGATCGCCGGCTTCAGCTTTGAACCGTCTCATCCTAAGCCAGGCTTGCACTGCCCGCCACTACCTTGTTCAGGAAAATGTAGTAACAGTAACAACAACAACCACACCAACAACAGCACTCCCCGAAAAGGCTTCTCCGCAGTCACATCCACTTGTAGTTGTCCTTTCTCACTCGGGAGAAAGCGCAGCTATGGAAAAGTTCATCTGTACACGCTTGGAAATCTCTGGACTCTGTTTTTAGTCCTTTGCTTTCCTCTCAAAGTCGCCTTGGATGAACTGAATCATTCTCAGCACTGATGAAGCTTTCAAGGAAGAGTGGGCTGAACAATCTCGGAGACTCTTCTGGTGTGAAGGAGTGGTTTACAGCAGAACAATCTCAAAAATTAAACGCGCTTGAAATACACTCAAAGGCTGAACGCGGTAATTTGGTAAGAATACAGGAAAGGACAGCTTCACGGAAGTCACGTGAATACCTTCGTGCAGCACGGGGGACCCTCCAACAGCTTGTGCTGATTGGAATAAAATTTAATTTGCCACGATCAACCGGTGGCAAGAAGAGCATGAATAGTTCTGTACTTTGCAGTATACTTCCTTGAAATCAGGTATCTTTTTAATTTATCTTTAGGTTACAGGACATATAGCATAGCAAGCTTTTTATTAAACATCACTTTGAAAGGAGAGAAAGTTAAATGTTAACTGTGCAAGTGCTGACCGATGGTGTCTTGCCCGAAGCTGAGGTGTATTTCGGGTCAAGTGTCTGCCACAGATTCCAGGAGACAATGGCCCTCTTAGCAAACCCCATCTTACGGAGAGATACAGCAGCCTCTACTGGAGAGGGCTGATGGACCTTCTGACTTGGCTTTTAAGGGATTGCCCATCCTCAAACCTAGTCTGGAGAGAGTCAAAGAGAAGAGGACTTTTGGTTACGTGAATGAATGGAGTCATTCACAGCCTGTGATGAGCAGGTGACCCTTTATGGATTCCAGCGTGGTGTGGATCAGTACTTGGGATCCTGGTGCTGGGGTTGACACTCACAAAAGGTCAGTCTTGGAATGTGTCGGGGACAGAAACAGTGTCTACACAGGGGACGAGCAGCTGAAAATGTTGTGAAGAATGGCCCCCGTCTCCGTGGTGTCGGGAACTCTGAGTGGACTCCTGGGCACGCTGCCAGTCCTCCAGCCTCAGTGTCCTAGTCTGAGATGGAGAGCTCGGGTCATTTAGAACCGACGAGTAGGGGTAGTCCAGGGGCCAGTGGAGATGCCAGCAGGAGGCGGGGCAGGAGGTGGCCGTGGAGAACGGATGGAAAAGCTGCTTGTGTGACTCACAGGCCTGGACATGGAAGAGCTTCGACTCCCAACTCCTCCAGTGCACAGATTACAAAAACAGCGTGGTGCTTAAGACAAGCAGATTGCTTAAAAACATAACTCTTTTTGGGGGGTTGTGATGGTGAAGAGAAAAAAATTAGATCATATTATGAATATGTGGGCTGACTTATAACAGTATGTCTTCAGTGGATTCTTTTATGAAGCCAAGGAAATGGTTGTAAAGGGAATAATTATCCCCAATTCAACTGCTTCGTAAGTTTGGAGCTATATGAATTATGTTTTCTCCAAGCCAGCGCTGTATTTTTCTAAGCAGGGTAACCGTTCAGGGTAACCGGTTGTTCATTGTTACCTTTTATCACACTTTACAATGAAAGCTAATTTTCCACTCTGGTTTTCTTATGATAGTATCAAAATACCAGAGCTTTCTGTTTGTAAACACAATGAGAAACATTTCCAAAAGACGTATTTTTCCATTGTTACAATCTTCCTCTTATACCTACATCCACCAGAGAGCAAAGAGCATACCTCTGCTAAATCAGCCCTGGGCTTGGTTAGCACTTTTTAATGGCTGCAAATGGAATGTAGGCCTCAAAGACTGCTTGGAATTTTGTATTATTGGAGTGACAGTCTACTTGCAATGTCACAGTTATTCTGGACTCTCTAGGTTGTTCTTTTCTGGTATAACAGTGATTTTTTTTTGCGGTGCCCTCGCCATTTCTCACAAAGGCACCTCACCCCTGGCCCGGGCCCCTGCCGCAGCTCCAGGTACCCACCTCCGCATAGCACCTTTCTTCTCACAGTGAGGTTCACCTGCCCGTTGCGGGCCGCGTGGTGCATAAGGTCGATGACATAACGGTGGGTCTTGCCGGCCACTGGGATGCCGTCCACGTAGACCAGCTCATCCCCTGGGTGGAGGCGACCATCTCTGTCGGCTGAGCCCATGGCGATGACGGCTCCAATCAAAATCTAGAGGGGCAGAGAGGAGAGGACTATCATGTTACATATCCATGCTTGAGCTGCTGCTAGATCACAAGGAGCAGGAGGCCGGGAGGATGCCCTTCCCCACTCTCAGGCTGCCGACTCCTGGAGGAATAAATGTCTCTGATGGACTGCTGATAGCCGTAAAGCTTGGGGGACATTTGCTTCCTGCATAATGAGCTATCACCTGCAAGGAAACATCTAACTCAAAATAATCTAACCTTAGCTGGCCAGCCCACATACTCTGCATTGAAACGAGGTGGAGACCAGGTGCCACCTCCAGTTCTTACTTGTGCACTTTGCTAAGGCTTCTTAGCCTCTGTAAGTGTAATTCCTCACTTGAAAAACGGGGGAAATAATATGAGGACCAATTGCAAGGGGTTTTGGGGAGAATGGAATGAAATAATGCACAGGATGTGAACATCTGACATTTTTCCAGGCCACACAGGGAGTACTCAAAAATTGTCAAGGAGAGAGCCAGGCATGGTGGCTTATGCTTGTAATCCCAGAACTCAGAAGGCTGAGGCAAGAGGATTATTTCAAGTTTACGGGAAGTCTAGGCTACACAGTGAGTCCGGGCCACCCTTAACTACATAGCAAGATCTTGTCTCAACAGGGAAAAGGCTGCCCCCAAACCCAAAAAACAACCACAACAAAAATGCCAAGGAGAAACTAGCTACAGTGTGTTTTTAAACTCTGATAGAAGTTCAAGATTTTTGTTATTGTTGGTTTTTTGGCTTTGCTTTGAAAGGCTGGAGGAAAAAAACCAAACCAAACCAAAGCAAACACAAAGCAACAATAGCAGTTGCTTTTTCCTGGCCAGATGACCTGCTATAGGATGTGTCAGTCACAAGCATGCTCTGGACACTCGCCCGTGCCTCTGGATCTTCCTTAACAGTGCTCTCCGTGCTGGACCTGTGTGTCCTGGACCTGTGTTTGGTGGAGTCATGGCCACCATGCCAGGAAGCAGGAGGTGCATGTCTGGGGACTGCAGCAGCTGCTGTGATTCCCTGAACTAAGGACTTCAGTGACTCATAAGGTTCCCATGCTCCATGAGAAAGGCTCTGTTCAGTGTTCATTAGCAAGAATCTTTTTCTGTCTCGGAGGAAAGAAACCAATATGAAATATTTCACTTTTGCTGTTTAACTCTGAACACTTTTCCCAACTGATGGACCACAGACTTTCTTTCCTTTGGCACCCAGTGTCAGAAGGTAGAGGTCAGTATCAGCTTGGGAGCACTGCAGGGCTCGTACTCCAGGATCTGAACACTTAGGGGTGACCTCTGGCTCGTGAGCTAGTTTCTTTCAGACATAATAATTTCCTTCGAGTCCCAGGTCTGTGGGCTCCACTTGGATTCCAGCTGTCTTGCAGAAAAGCTCTATCCTGACCTGCAGGCTGCAATCTCAGGCTTGGCAGCAGCCTGACCCCTTTGTTCCTGGTCACTTTGTCACCATGGCACCAGATCTGGAGGCTCAGCTCTTTTCAGCTGCTGTATAGCTAAAATTACAATCGGAGCACTTTCCAGGCTCAGTCTATTGAATAACTTCTTATTTTAGAAAAATAAAATTTCCCTACACTACCGCTGCTTTCCTCCTATTCCTGAGGATGTGGAACAGAATTTCTGCCCTGTTGAATATTAGCGTTCTGATGAGTGATTCATTATTGATATCAAAGGAAAGGCTCGAACCCCTGCCTTAGATGGGCTCCACAGCATGGCTCTCTCCTAGCTGTGACCCACTGCAGCCTTTTGCTATAATCTGGAAGCTGGACACACTTCGGATAGTGTCTGTTTTCTCTTCTTGTCAGGCCATCTTGCATTTATGAATTTCTTTCTAAAGATGTTCCAATCTAGTCTTCAAAAGGTGTGGCCCACAATGGAATGCTTCAAAGATTTTGAAAATCCTTTGTGCAAATCTGGTTAAAATGCATGTTAACATCTCCACTGCTGCAGGCCAAGCTGCATTTTGTTGGGCGAGCCCAGAGAAAATGCTTCAACCTTTAGACCTCTGGAACATTTAAGAGGGAGGACTTACAGCTAGCTATATTTTCTTAATTTTTTAAAATAGAGTTTTAATAAGTTATCAATTTTAAGTGTAGTTCTGATTCTAACAAAAGTGAAACAAAAAACGGGTTATGATTGAGCCATAGCTGCCTCTGGGCTCTTGCACCGAAGCAGCAAGGATGGTGTCTCACGGCCCTCCTGCTATAGAGAAATTCTTGTGGCCCTCCTGCTATAGAGAAGCAACCACATATTCTGAACTCTTGAAGTTATACTCCGTGTGGGCAGCTTAATGTCAACATCGATTAAAAGGAAAGCCTCAGTAAATACTGCTTTCCGATGATATTGGTATGACACAAGTTACTCTCATTAATTCATCTCTTTTCTGCAAATATTCATTGAGCCCAGGGGTACTTTCAAGGGCTAGGGCATCAATAATTGATAAACAAGAATCGATAAACAAAATCCCTGCCCTGTAAAGTTTCATCCCAGTGACAATGACAAATGATAAATATGTAAATTACAGTCTGCCACACGGCAGGTACCATAGAGAAAGCACAGCAGGTTGAAGGTGGTGTTAAAATCTGGTCAAGGTGCTGCTAGAGTGGGTTAGAGAGGGCATCACTGAGAATTTGACGTGTGAAGATTAGAGTCCACTGAAGGCCATTTATAAAAAACTTTCAAGCTTTACCCTTTAAATCTTCCTATAACTTGCTCTATCAGATCCTATATATTTATGTCTGAAATATATATTAAATTAATACTTCAATTATCTAAATATCCAGGGGTGATGGATACCTGTAATCCCAGTACTCAGGAGGCTGAGGCAGGAGGATCACTGTGAGTCCAAGGGCAGCCTAGGCTACAAGTAAGAAGGCCAGCCTGAACTGCACAGCAGAACCCTGTCTCAAAAAATTTTGTCTAAAAAGTAAATCCATGTTTATATCTCTTAACACTGCAGTATAAATTACTATGGAGTATTACTTAGTATGCAGTATTAAATCTGTACATCATTATTCAATCACATAGAGTTTATAAATATGTAACATTACATGGTACTATGAAGTTTACCCGCGGTGTTTATCACGTAAATTTTGTGCTACACACTTTAGTATTGGGCATTCCTTAGGACACAGCCTCACGTATATGAACACTATCATACAATTACATTACACCGTGTTCTCCACTTTATTTTCCCACGAGGGTCTCATAGCCAACTTGAGCTGAGTCAGGCACCATGCACTCCAGACCGGCAGGCATCAGCGCAGTCGTGCTCCGCCGTGCAGGGCCCACTGCACTTCCCGTCCCTCAGGGAGCCCTGCTGCTGCTGGGCAGGGCTGACCACTTGCTGTCCCGTCCTCCAGCTCTCCTGCTGCTGCTTCCCCACCTTTGGCACCTGCATGCACTATACAATATTTCACCGCGGACCCACAGAGAGCGCTGTGGGACCCTCTGTGCAGGAGCAAAACACAGTTTTTTCTCTTCACATGTGATTTGTGCACTTGATGCGTCCCATTGCTTCCTGCTTGGCCCCTTCACTGCCGGGGCTGGTAATGCAGGGTCCCCTCTTGCATGGTAACCCTCTCAGCTTCCCAGAGGACACTTAATCGGGCCCACGCAAGTTCATGAGAATGTGCTGCTTCCAGCATCTGACCCTTCCAGTGGGGAGTTCGCAGACTTTGGGGGGCAGGGGAACAACCCCATGAGCTCTGCATGATCCACACCTACGGGTGGGTGGCGGGTGCTGGTCCTGGTGCAGTCACACTCTCAGGACCATGGCTCTGACGCTGTGCTCCGTGTGGTGACCATGGGACCTCTGGTCCGACTGGTCCTGACCCAAGTCCCAGGAGGACTTCCCTCGGGCAGGTGGCCCCCACTCTCTGACCCTCACGCTGCCACTTCCCAGGGCTCCAGTGTTTGGTCTGGGTTCCCATCTTCCTGCTGGTCCTGCTGGTCTCTGCTTAGTGAACTGACCTGGCCAGTGCGCCTTGGCCCACCCTCCCTTTGTCCTTGTTGGACTCCTGGCCTCTTCAGGGAGGGCCTTTTCATTCTGTGCCCCTTGCTTTGGCACCAAAGGAACAGCTTAAGATCCACAGCCCTGCCTTTCCCATTGCGCTCTCCAGCGAACAAAGGGGCTAAAACCACTCCGCAGCTCCAAGTGTCTCGGCTGTGAAGACCTGAGCAAAGCAGCATCCGTGGGAGGAACGCAGCTCCCGCGGCAGTGGCCGATGCCCAGGAAGCCAGGGCAGAGGGAAGAATGCTTAGAAGAAACAAAACCCACGCCACCACTCAGGCCTGTTAATTCTTCCCTACCTACTGCATTTGGGTCCAACCCTGGGAGATCTGCTCCTCTGGAACTGTCGCCTGCCTCCTCTGGCTCTACGACAAGCTTGCCAGGCTCCTTCCTTCTGAAATCCTCCGTGAGCCCGCGCCAGGCCCCGTGCAAAGGTGCTGTCTGCCATCCTAGTCTTGCTGCTTTTTCCCATCTCTTTTTAGCTCACAGCTGGAAATTTTATGTTTGTTTCTCTCTAGCATTTTTTTTTTTCATTTTTCCTTACCTCTATTGTTATTTAACTGTGAAAAGTATTTCCTTTTGCTGGAAAAATGCTCACACGTTTTGTCTGATCCAGAGTCCTGCTGTTTACTGTTGTCATGTTGTAGGAGCCTCACGGGATGTCAGTACTGTTTCACATACAAGGAGGCAGAAACCCATCGGGGTAACCTGTCAGACCTCCGTGGTGGGGACCGAGGCACCTGATCCGCCCCTCCTTGGAGCATCGGCTTTGCTCACTGCCCCAGGATGTGAGGTGCAGCACTGCAGGGAGCAAAGGCTGCTGAGGGGAGGTCTTTGTGGAGAACTCTCTCTGCCCAATGCAGTTATTCTGGTTTCAGGGCTCCTTTTAGGCCGGTGACATCCAGGAGATTTAGGATTCCACTTTATGGCTTAAGGGTAGAAATTATCTTGCCACAATGTGTGTCTATGTCTTAAATCATTCCAAGAAGGAACAAACAGGAATACGTCTAAATAAACACAATAAGGACAACCAGCAATCCATGTAACACGAAGAGGCCGATCATGAAAATGTGATGTGAGGAGAAAGGGCTGGGGCTCAGGAGGCCTGACATCTGAGAACCTGGGTGCAAACCAGGCAGGCTGGGGTCCTGAGGCTGCGTGAGAGCATGGCACACACTCACCCCGAGCTTCGGTTGGAGCTGTGTGGGGGGAATTGGTAACAATCCCGGTCTCTCCTGCCAAGCAGCATCTAGCAGGCCCTGTCTCTTCCTAAGGACCAAGGCTACGCTTGTCTTCCCGATGATGCGGTCAGGCGGGCCCTTCTCCTTCCAGGGCAGACAGGGACAGGCGAAGCTAACATTTACTGAGTAGGGTACTGGCTTAGCCCCTCACCCCAAATGATAAAATATGAACCTGGGGGCCCGGCAAAGTAAGAATTTCATATTTCGAAGACTAAAGTAAGTATCATGGGAAGAATCAAAACTGTTGCTTTGCCGCATATTTATTTCATAGCTTAATGTTTTATTTGCATTTATATACAAAAGAAGGGACTTGACAATATGTTCAGTGCTGAGAGCTAATAAAGATCATGGCCTGGCCCTAGTTGTTGGCTGCTGTGGCATAAAATATTTATATTTCCAATTTTTTTCAATCCAGTCCTCCCAGATAGGCCTTTCAAAGATGGCGGCTTAAGGAGGCAGCACAGGGGCCACCAGGCATTTTGGGCACAGTGACCATGCCTAGCCTGAAAGGGGCCACCTCTTAGCCTCCAGCTGTTGTCAGAGACTGAGACAAGTTCAAGGATGCTAGAGCCATTTTTTCTTTCTTTTGAGAGAAGATCAAAACTTTTAATATGTGAAATGAGTTAGAGCTCAGCAGTTTTAAAACCGGCTCTGCTTCTAGGCCAGGGTAATTCTCCAGGGGCCTACATTTAGAGGCCAACAGGAAATATAAGCTCCTGATCATTATTTATTCTGAGAAACACAGTGACAGTTTTGTCTTGGTGAAGAGTGCTCTCTTCAATTCCGTTCAATACATATGTTGTACACAGCTCTGGGCTTGTCTTGGAGGACGTAAATACCAGTAACCACAGTTCTCACCTTAAAGAGGCCCACATTTTGATAGGATGTCAGTTAGTATATTCTGGAATAAACAGACACTTGTCTTTCTGATAAATTCCTTTAGTTGGTATGTTTGAGGAATTATACAGGTTTTAGTGCAATGGATTCAATCTGAGTTTGTCTTTATTGCCCATATCACACAAATAGTATGATGTTACCACATAATGGTATTTTATTTTGAGCATGGGGTTTTCATTTGTTTCAGCCCTTTGGGATCTTTTAAGCTTATAGTTTCATAATAAAGAATTTTGCTTCAGTTGGAAGAAAGGTTTGATGGTTGTCCCTGGTTCTTGGGAGATAATCTCTGAATTTTTGGAATAGGAGAATCTTCTTTTACCGACCTGATAGTTTTAGGATCAGAAGATGATTCAGGGAGCTCCAGCCCCATCAAGAGTCTTCATGAGGACTGCATGCCCGGAATATCAACCATGTCACAAGAGGGTGGGCACTGTGAGCTGTGTGGTATCAGCCTGGCCTCTGGGAAGAACAAATTGAGCTCTGATAGTAGTGATTTGATCAACCATGCCCACATAATGAAGCGCTGGTAGAAAACCTGGGTGCCACAATTTGGGGTCAATGCTGGAGGGTCACTTGTCTAGAAGGATGATTGAAGATTTACGTTTGAAACTTTCTCGACTTTGCCCCACACATCTCCTCTTTTGGCTGTTTCTGATTTGTACCCTTTTGTTATAGTAAAACTACAGTAAAACTAACCCTAAATGGGACACTCTCCTGAGTCTGAGTCGTCCCAGGAGATGATCGGACTTGAGGAAGGCTGTGAGTTCTCCAATGGCCTGAGAATGACCCGCTCTGTCTCTTTGCTTATAGTTCTTAAGAATAGCCATAGAACATTCTGAGAATATCCTGAGATGAGGAGGAGCCAGCTGAAATACCCTGAGCTGCGTTCCAGTTCCCGGTAGAGTGGGGTCTCCAGGGTATAAAATCAGTGCTCATAGGGTGCTGATTTTGGGGGTTCCTCAGCCATGATGCAAGTGAGCTATGAACAGTTGAGACTCTGTCTGTCCTTGCGAGCTCTCTTGAGCCTAGCTCACAAGGAGGCTTATGCTCCTGTAGCTCCTTGCAAACTACGAGTCCAGTTCATGTCATCTCCCGTGTGTGTGAATTTCCTGCCTCACTGAATGCAGGCACATCGGAAAATAGTACACAGTGAACCTGCTTCACAGAAGGGACCCCTGTATTTATGGCTCTGGCTAAAGTAGAGGAACTTTGTGAAGACTCTTCCCCTGGGCTTTGCCATTTAAAACCCATTTTAGTTGGTGTCAGAAGTCCTGGGCAGAGGGGGCAGTCCGGAAAACTTCAGTTTGGCCAACTCTGGATAATGGCACATTTGACATTCATGTATTAATAAACAAAGGAGATGAAGTCTGTGCTTAACGGGAGTTTAAAATCTTGCTGGTCAAACAAAATAGGCAGATGTATGAACATGTCAGAGGAAGCTGACCTGGAGGAAGCTGAGGCATCAATATCCCCTGGAGGCAAGGGGGTCAGGTAGAATAAATGCTTATGCAGAGGAAGGTCCTTCCCGATATTTTTAGCTCTTTACATGTAAAACAAGATGAGTTGTAGCAGAGAATGAGGCCAGAGCGCCAACCAGAGGACTGAGAGTCACACAATCAGAGGTCACAGGAGGAGAGGAATGAACTCTGAAGAGGGAAAAGGGGAACCAAGACCTGAGACCACCCAGGGCTTGGTCCCTCAAAATCTGAGGTTACGTGAGCCGTTTTTTTAACCTCAGTATTCTGTCTCATCTCAAAACACTCAGGAAAATCCCGCCAATGCTTGGAAACACACTCTCATCTGTTGTTTGGTAGATGGGAAATTAGTGACACGCTGGTCAATTATTTCCAGTAGGCAACGATCTTCAAGGAATAGCCCCTTTCCCCAGAGTGCCCTCATGCTTGGAGGCCACACTTGGCTTCTTGGGGCTTTCTGCAGGCAGAGGCCTCATCAGTCACACAGCCCAGCTCTCATGGGCAGAGGAAGCTTCTCTGGGGTCCCATCCTGTTCTCAGCGACTCTGCTTAAATGACCCTCCAGAGAAGGCGCTCACCGTCTATGCATCCACTTCACCTTGGACGGTTTTAATTGTTACAAGAATAAATAAATAGATTCATTTATTGGATTGACATTTTTTTTTTCTTGGAAATTTTCACTTGTTAGACTGACTTCTTTTTCTTGGAGATTTCAGTCTTATTTTTATTTTTGGAAATAATCTATTGACATGGGAAACAAAACTGAAGATAAGAAACACATAATTGACAATATAAAGAAAACTCCACCAGAAGCTTTAGTGTATTTTGACTTTGTGACTCCTGGGAGCTGTTTCAAGAGAAAGCCCTGCGGTACCCTCACCCTGCAGATGAGGAAGCTGAGGCCTGGTGTCTGCTCTGAGCAGGCTGGGGAGCAGCCGCTAGAGCAGGGGTGCTGGCATTAGAATGCACTCCTTCGGACTTCAGGTTTCCAGAACTGTCATGGATTCGATTTGATTGCACTGAGTACAGTTTCAGGCACATCTTTCACAACGAGTGTTTTAGAGCTGATATTTTAATGCGTTCTTATAGAAACAGCCTTCTGTGTGCTAAGGACTACTGTTATTTTGCCCTGAATACACACACAGATATGGATTTCTCTATCACCCTTCCCGAATGTCCAATACTGCACCAGCTGGCTGCCTTCGTGAACGTCTCCTCATGGTAATCCTTTAACTCGAACCTGTTGAGACTCCACAGCTCTGAACTTGAGTATGCTTCCACTTACCCCTGTGCTTACTCTGCCTTCTTTTGGCTACAAGCACACTTGCTCCTGACTTCTCAAGTCTCCTCTGTTCGGTCACCCTGCTCGTCTACGACCTACCCCACAGGAAGACCAAGGTTCCAGCGCCATCAGATAACTGGAATACGCAGGAGGAACTCATCCACCCTAAGGGAGAGTAATATCTATCCTGGTGATTTATGATATGATTTTGTTATGCAGAAACTTGCTGTTGTGAGATTTTTTTTAAACTTTTTTTTTCTGATACAGGGGATCAAACTCATGACCTCACGCTTGCCAGGCAGGCGCTTATGCCACTGAGCTAAATCCCTGGCCCCCTCCCCCTTTTTTGAGAACTTTTAAATAAGAATAGCAAGGGGAAAAAAGATTTGATATTTCTTATGCAAGGTCTCACCACGTCCTTTTCAATGTTACCCTGAACGTTGTCTTCCCCTGTGTTTGCACACACAACAGAGCAGAAAGTGCGGAAATAAAGGGGATTCAACTTACTGGCTGTCCAGGCTCATCTCCTCCGAGGATTCTGAAGCCAAACCCAGACTCCATCCTCCGAAGGTGAACATCCAGCTCCTTGTAGTCTGGACCTGGCATAGAGAAGATCCCGCTGAGTCATGAATCCGGCCTCCTCCCCACCCCAAGGAGCTGCACACACAATGGGAAGGTAATTCCGTGCAGGTGATCAATGGGGATGCTGTTAGAGTAGATGCAAAGCGTAAAGGATGCAAAACTATATGCAGCAGAGACGTACTATTGTGGAGCCAGGGTGCTCCTGGAATAACCGTGACCAGTTAAGGTCATTACGAGGATATCCACAGGAAAGAACGCCCGAGCTTTCTGTGTGAAAACATGGATACTTCTGTGCTTTTAAATTTTCTTACGAGCATCAGGATGGCTCTCAAGAGGTTGGGTTGTGACTTGGTGGAGGGAGAATGTGTGCTCTGACTGTCTTGGCCATGAGAGAAAACAGATGGTTAAACTGGGGCTAGCTGGTAGTTTACTGGGGTCTATGATTTGATGCATCTAATGTGTGTGTAGCTGTGCAGGGCATAAACCTATACCTATGGAAAGTGTTAAAATTATAAAAATTAGAAAATACAGACCATAAGCTTTTCTCTACTGAGGTATAAGTGAATTGCTTGCTTTTATAATTCTTTTATTTTTATTTATTTTTTGTAACTTACAGGTAAAAATTCTTCTGGATCTAAAATAAACTCTGAACCCCCAGATATTTCAGGATGGGGAAGCCGTAGTGGACGACTAACTTCATGAGTGTGCTCAAGGGAAAGTCGAGGAGCAGCACCTACCACTCTGAAGTCGGTGAAGGAATGGAACACACCGGAGCATGACCTGGAGAACTCCTGAGTGACACGTTTTCACCCCGTGAATTAAAAATATATGGAGTCGTTTGGCTTTCTGAGGGGAACATGCTCCCTGCTGCTGTGTCCTGTGCCCCTTGCTTGGGGGTACACACCTGTCGTGCCCAGCTGTGTCTACTGCCACCCACCGGGAGACTGTCGGGGGTGACCAACGCCCACCCTTAGGAAGAGTATTCTTTAAGCCAGCCTTTGCATGAGAGGTGTTGGGTGACTTCTGGGCCTCACTCATTTGAAGACGGAATTAGAAGTGATAAAAACAAGTATTAAATGAAAGTCCCCCAGCTTAGATAGGAGAATTTTGGAATTGAGGATGGGATTTAGAGGAGAATCCTCACGGGAAAAAAATCTCAAGAAAACTAAGCCACTTGAATATTTAGCCATAGCTGTCGAGGTAAATCTCCTCTAGATCCTGTAGGAAGCAGGGCTGTTGATGTGACACAGGGTGCGACAGACGGTGACAGCTGGATGTGGTGGTGCACGCCAGTAAACCCAGAGCTCTGGGAGGCTGAGGCAAGAGGAATGCAGGTTCAAGTCCAGCCTGGATAATTTGGCAACTAAGCAAGACTCTACCTCAAAACAAAAAATAGGAAGGGCTGGGGATGCAGCTCAGGGTTCAATTCCCAGTACCCCAAAAATCAACCAGCCAACCAAACAAACAAAAAATGAAAAATACAACACAGGCTTTCTTTGGTGTCCAGTACCCTAGACTATTCCTACTGATATCTGAAAGACAGGGTCCTTCAACCTCTGATTTGTGAGGAAATGCTTATTGTTTGAGTGGTACCTCCTTAAAAAAAAGTTGAATCAGGTCCAAAGTCCTAAATATGTCCATACTGTGTAAGAATCAATCACCATTCACATACAATCGAGAAGATACAGTTTTTATGGCCTTCTATAAGCAAATGCACATATTACCAAGGTCTTTTAAAGAAGACTATAAAAGAAGAATCATCAATTAGACCACCACATCCATTTAGGCACCATTTATAAACTGCACACGCATTCCTATTTTAAAGATGGGAGAATTTAAAAGAATTTTGTTCCTGTTAAACCGAGTTGGGGGGTAAAGATGAAAACTTTGTCCTACATCTATGAGAGACAAATGGTTTTGAACCCAGTTAGTTATGGAGTCCTCAGTATCCTGTAAGAAGTCACAGAGCAGAGTGTGTGCAATGACTTCAGGAGTCCAGCAGCCCTATAATGTCCCAGCAGGGGACCCACAGTCTTCCCTAGGGAGGAAGAAAGGTGAGAGGCGGGAGGAGGTGAGGGCAATGCCAGTTTCCGCTCAGATTCTACAGGGTGGTTATGATGCAACCGATCACTGCGATCTCTTGTGTAGGTCACATTCAGCTCCAGGTCTCTAGGTCTTAAATACATAGAAAGCACAAATAAGCAGGTGACATATTTGTGACACTTAAAATACTATATGTTCAAGCGGAATTTTCCACCTCCTGCTCTGTTCGTCTCACTTTTGGATTGCTGGTGTGTACAGCTGTGGGCGGGACCGGTTCCTCCAAGGATTTCGGTGCCTCCTTGCACAGAGTTTACTGCAGGTTCTGTCTTGATTGCTAATAGGTTTTCCCCTCACGAAGTGCTGAGATTATGATTTTGAGATGTGCGAAGGTATGAGGGGTCTGGCCTCATCAGGGAATTCCATATTTCTAGGAGAATGAGGAAGAGTTCTCTTACAGAATGATTTACAACTTTATTTTAGGAGAAAAATCAAGATTTCTAGATAATTTAGTTGTCTCTGGAGAAGCGAAGAGTGAACAGGCATTATCCCCTTCTCCTACTTATGTGGCTTTTAGTGTTATTTCCGGTCCCTTTGACTGTTGCTCTCTGATCCACGCTAATCTGCACTAGTGGGTGGTGTGTGCCAGTCCAGTCCCTTCACCATCCCGCTCTTCAGTGCAGGGATGGGCGGCGTCTGGGTACAAGCAATGAGGCAAGCAGAGCCACTAGACAAGTGTGCATGCAGGTGTGATCTGCTATTTACTTCTTTGTTAATTTTTTGAAGGCAGACTCAGAGGCTGCAGGGCATGAAAACTTTAGAAAAACTGTCAACTGGAAGAGAAAAGTTTAAAAGACAGGGATTGCCCCAAGACTGTTGTTTTCTTTGCGGCGGTGGTGGGGGCACAAGAGGTTTTTTTTGGAAAGATCATTCCCCTTTGGTATCTCTCCCCCTACCTCTTTGAGACTGGCTTCACAAAATAATGGAGGGCTCAGAACTGTTATGCTTTTCTCTCTCATTTCGTTCGCTCTCTTGAGGGGCTGAGGTTTCTTCCCAAGTTGCTCTTCTAGCTGACCACAGGCTCAGCTACTGTATCATGTTAACTGGAGGAAGCAACCCAGGGTCAGCCTCTCAGGGTCCTATGTGATGGAAGTTAACCGCCACCCTCTGTCTTGCTTATAGATGAACCACACACACAGGAAGCTGTCAGGAAGGGCCTGCTGTGCCTGTCCACCTGAGTCCCTTTAGATGCCACTCAATGATGTCCTGACAATGTCCTTTATCTCTTCTGCTTTTTTTTTTTCCTATGTGCTGTTGCAGTTTCTTCTTTCCCTCCTCCCCTTCTGCAGCACCTTTAGGGCACTCCAGCTGCCACCTGGTGCAGCTCCAGAGGAGGCAGTGCTTGTGAAGAAATGGACCAAGTGGAAAGCAAAGATCCTTTGGGTGTCGGTGTCCAGCAGCCGTCCATGGTCAGCGTTGCTTAGTAGCAACCCTTAGCAGCCAGGCCCCAGAATGTCAGATGCTATGAAAAAAAGCCTCTCGTGATCCTCTTCCCCAATGTGATTATCTGTGACCTCTGTGGCAAGCCCCTGCAGTGGAATTTATGTGCCCCAATTTATCTGGGGCTCACCCCAACGTCATAAAAGTGAACAGTAAATTAGCACATGGTCACCACATCCAGGCATCAGAATAGCTTCGCTCAAAATAAAGCAAAGCAGAATTTCAAAAGCAGACTCCTGCTTTTGATATTAAGACTCCAGGGGACTTTGCATGCTGCATGTGTCTTGGCCTTGTTTTGAAAAGCACAGCTTTATGCACTGTGTTAGGGAAAGGCCTGATGACTCAACACAACTAATTAATTTTATGAATGGATCCAAGCCTCAAAAATGAAAAGAATGGCTTTTTTTGGAATTAATTTGGCACATGGGATGCTGCTGTAAACATGTCAATTAGATTTTGGTACTTGAAGCCCCTTTCATGTTTTAATTAAAACATAAGTGCCATGGCTTGTTATCACAGTTTGGCACAAAGAATGCACTCATTCAGTTTTTCCTATTGGAAGGTGCAGTATTATTTTGGCTTTTACAAATTTTTATTTATTTATTTTTGTAAAGCGATCCAGGGAAGACAGCCCCAAGGAAAAAACCAGGAATTGAAGAAGACTGTGAAACACTGGGTTTTCAGCCTTGATGCGCCCCAGCTATGGCCTGAGTTCAACAATGATTCCATAGATTCCATCACCGGACTCAACATTACCAGAGCGGCAGCTAACACACTGTGCCTCAACCCTTTCTCTTTGTCTTCCCCCTTCATCCTTTGGTAATTTGGCAGTTTCAGTCTTGATTTGTTTCTTTCCTCAGCCTGCAAATCAGCTTGGGTTTCCCCACCCTAAATACCGCCTTATCTCCTTCCGTGCTTCAAAGTGCAATTTCTAGAGAAGGCTTCACTGCCCCTCCCCATGGCCCTGGCAGTCTGGGCTCCTCTTTCTTGGCATCCCTTAACTCTTCACAGGGCCTGATGACATCCCAATGGCCAAATCGAACAGCCTTTTACTTTTTTCTCATTCTGATTGACTTCTGTGCCTCCTTGGTTACTGTCAATGGGACCCGCATGACCACAGATTTTTTTAAAGTGCTAACCAAGGCAAAGTCTTCTTGGGAAGAGGCTTCTGTATCACTCCCTGCCCTGGCTTTCTTGTCATTGGGTGGACTTCCCCATCCAAGGTTGTTGGCTATATATTCCATGGGTTCTCACTAAGATCTTCCCTGGACAATGGAAGAACTGTCTTATGTAGGGCAGTGTCCAGTTTGCATGAGTTGCTGAAGGACTTTTTCTTAGTTTCATTAGAACCCTCACCAATTAGAACCAATAAACTACATAATTTTCCAGTATGGAGCTATTATTTAATTCCATAAACACATTATTTAGGCTTTCCTACTATTTCCTTTGTATTTAAATATCATATGTACATAAAGTTAATAATATACCTTTTCATTATGATAAATTATGTCCGAGTCCAAGACCATGACACATAATGATGATATTTTAGACCAGAATATGAGAGACATGTTTATTGATATAGTCATGATTTGGATGTGGACATTTATCAAAATATTTGGACTGGTTCTTTCCTTGAAAATCTGAGTCGCATAGTAGTATACGATACTTCAGCTATAACTTTTAAGTAATCTTTTTAATGTAAAATATGACATTGCACACATACCAAGGCATTCTAGATTGTTCTATGGCCCTTCTAATTTTTCTTTTTTTAAAAAATAAAGTACACTCAGAAGTGGAGCTTTTTAAGAAATGTGCTTACTGGTTCCAGTAAGCTGAGATTTGGAATTCCAAATTAAACCCTGATTTCATTTTGCAACTGTAATTAGTAGGTCCCATTTTCTCTCTGGGAACAAAATAACTTAAAATCTACAAGGATTTTACAGTCAGTATATAAGAATAATCCTGCCTTAACTTTTTTTTCAGATCAAGCTAAACAAATATTTTAGCTATTAGTTGAAGACAAAATGCTAAGCAATATCTTCAATATTTTGTATATCTCCTAAAAATGACATGGAAACTTACAGAATGAAATGATCTCGAGCACACGTATTCTCAGGGGATGCTAGAGTAGGCTGAGGTGGATGATGAGCTGTCAGCACGGGAACACTGAGGATGAGTGCTGTGAGCCTGTGGACTCGGACCGTGCTGCTGCGAAGAGCTGCCCTTTCCTGCCAGTCCTTTAGTGTTCAGCCCTTCAGTCCTGTAGGCTACTCAGCTCCTTAAAGCACTTTCGCTCTTAAACCAAAGAGGAAAAAGACCTAAATTTGTCTTCCCTCCCTTGGAATTGAGCTCAGGATTTCACACAGAACCACACCAATATACTGATACTGACCTGGCTGGGCTTGAACTTGCGACCCTCTTGCCTCAGTCTCCCTCAGTCTCCCTCAGTCTCAGAGTGCTGGGTTTATAGCATAGGCCACCACACCTGGCTTTTGTACTTTACCTCTACAATAATGTCAGATATTTCCACCTAAACCCAAAGTGGAAGGTATGCTTTGGGATGGGTAAGTTAAAAGTTGTTTCAAGTAAATTAATTGACTATTGGTATAAGCTTTTAAATTTGCAGCTATGATATTCTATCTTAACCTAAATATTATTAAAATGCAGCAATTTCCATTGGCATAGTTTATAAAATTGTTATAGAGGCATGCATTTGATCTGAAAATAATTCTAATATGTGTTAGCAAATTTTCTAAAAATGTCTTTGGAAATATCTAAATTGCACATCTCTTGGGATATCCTTGCTTCTTTTCTCTATTTATCTGGCTTAGTGCTGTCCAACATAAATAAAGCATACATTACACAAGTAATTTCACATGACCCAGCAGCCACTTTTTAAAAAGAGCCAGAGGAAACAGGTGAAGTCAGTTTTACTAATGTATTTCACGTAATTTGGTTACCCAAAATACCATCTTAGCATAAGTAACAGGAACATAAGTAACTAGATAGCATTCATTTCTACCATTGCTGTGCAGAGTTTTTGGGGTCCCGTGAGAATTTTACGCATATCTCATAGCAAATTTGAGTTTAGCCTGGTCACTGCTCACTTTTCATAAGCTAGTGGCCACCGTGGACAGGAGAGATCAAGTCGTCCCAGTGGCTTTTTTCAGCTGGTTTAAAATCTAATCTCTTACTAAAGTGTTTCACTGAAGACGCGGATGCGACTGTCTTATTCACGGTTTCCTTGTCATCTATGACCGCCAGATGATGGCTTGTGGACCCACCGGGATGATACCTGTGGTGTATCTTGACTACATGCATGTGTAGGTGACTCGAGTCAGCACTAAGACACGGGTGCTACTCTGTAGAATGGTCACACAGAATGGAAGACATGTGTGCACAGATCTGTGAGGACTGGAGGATACTTGCCAGAGGAATCCATTCGAAAACTGGTCCTGGGTGGCACTTGTTCTGGATGGGAAAATGGGGAATTAAAATTGAAATTCATTTACGGCATTAAAAGTCCATCTTTACTTTTTTTTGGTTGCTATTATAATTCCCCCACCCCAGTCTTACACTCTCATTTAACGTTTTTTTCTCTCTAAAATCCACGGTAGACAGATTTACCCTGCTTTGCATATGAGTGTGTGTGCTAATGTATCTCTCTCACATGGATCCAAAGAGAAAAATCTCAGTTCACTTAGATCAGGATGGGAAAAAAAGATCACCACTTCCAAGTATTATTAAATCATTATAAGAACGCTTCTTTAAAAATAAAGCCAATCTAGAACTTGAGATAGCTACAAAGTAAATGTAAGTCTTTTAGCATCATTTTATGGTAGTGTGTCATGAAACACTGAAATGAAAAGTGAACATTTGATGGTGGCACTGATTTTGTATGCCAGTCCAAACATTTGGATGTCTTTCATTATTTGAATGGTTGGATTCATGTATAAATACTTGAGTTAAATTAGTTTATTTCAGCCAGAGAGGTCTCATGAAAACTGTGGGGTCATCTATGCTACATGTAATAATGTAAACATTAACGTACTTGGGGATAAACATCTTTATAATGTAGGCAAATGCCCCATTTAGAATTCCAGGACTTTGGAAACTGGTAGTATTTGAGTATGGAGCTTTTCTGGTTAAAATTACCAGGGATGAGGAAGGGTCCCTCCTATGTAGATGTGTTCACGGTATACCAGTGTTCTGCGGGGCTTGATTTGCACACATAGGAAATGACATTATGAAATTATGCTTTGATCTTTATTTTGCCTCCAGAATTCACTATTTTGACTTCATGGAGGTATTGACAGAGTGACAGAGCCTTGGCCATGAAGAACTTTCACTGAAAGGCCTTCACTGGGTGCGGACAGCAAGACTCAGGCCCCCAATGCTGAGAATCCCTTAAGGTGCTTTGCACTGTCTCAGAGAAAATTTCTCAAGATCCTTTTTAGGAAAAAACACTTCTTACAATAAGGCTGAGTCAGAAGGATACAGAGTTCGCGACTTGGGCTACCCAGTGAGTTTGAGGCCAGCCTGATCTACAGAGCGAGACCCTGTCTCAAAAAGCCCAACAAAATGACTAAAACCCAAAAATCAAAATAATTTTCCATTTCCAGTTTACTTATACAGTCTGTAAGTAAAATGTGGTCTGCACTAAGTGGTCTTTGTTTAAGCTTAGAATTATTCTGAATAAATACAGTACCCCAATGCCCTTTGGTTCTATGCTGTGATTTTTTCTTTAACATCTTCAGATATTTTTCCTCCTCTTGAGATATTCCCAAATGGCACAATCAAGTTTAATATGAGATCTGCAAATGGTGTGTGGGTGCAAACCCCTGGTCAAGGAACACTGAAGAAGACAAAGCTTGAGGCCAAATAAGCCAAGCTACTTCCTTCCAAGAGAGGTCAGTTAGTTTCGTCTTCATCATGAACTTACCATAAAGTTCATCATCTTGCTGAAAATCACTACTAAACCTCTCTAAAGCATAAATCCATATTATAGATAAAAGATGTAGAAAGTTCTTGTGGGGACCCCACCCCCAGACTTCAATATAAAAATTAATTTTAGGCTGGAGGAAATTTTAGGCCACTATTTTAATATTATATATAACCACACACATTTAAGATACGCAGTCATTAATCACCAAATTGATTATTCCTTAAGAGAATTTATAAAGAGGCAACTTAAAAGACTTGGCTTTCAAAGGCAGACAGTGGGGTTAAAACACAACAGACCTCTCCATTCTGAGAGTATTAAGATGACACATAGTTTTATAATATAGTTGTGCCATCTGAAGTGCTGTGAACTGTCATTTGATTTAAGAATTAAAATAGGACTAAACTTTGATTGTATTGTTACTGAGCTTGCTTTGTTTCTGATAAAGAGCTAGTTTCACTCATCAAAGATGTAATGATCATACCTGCTAGGTGGGCTGTAGTTCACCAGGAAGGGTAGTTAATTTCCTATAGGAGGTGTTAGAGAAACTTCAGGCTTACCGTGAACATCTAGGGAATGGGAATGGGAAGGAACCTTTTGTTAAAAACACAGACCTGTGTCAAGGCTGGGGGAGAGCTACCTCCAAAGACTTCCATTAGCTTTAGAACTGACACGGACCCACTTGCCATCCAGCCAATCTGTGTTATTTAGTGCAGCCTTGATGGTCTCATATTTATTCCTGATATTACTTTGAGTTGCATGGTCAACTCACACCACCAATAAAATGCTTTGACATCCTAAATATCATTCAAGCAAGAGCCAATTTTTGAATCTACTGTTCACATTTCTTTCTCCCTTCCTATCTCTCATCTAAAAGCTCCAATTTTTAAATAACTCAACAAAATAAATTTATGAGAAATAATACCGGATCTAACTCCTACAGTACATGGTAAACTATATATGCAGTATCTTGGTGGTATCATGGTAGCTTCCCAGTTTCAAAAGGAACCTAATAGAAATATAAATGTTATCATAGTTATTACAAAGCACCTAAGACACCATTTTTGAAATTAGACTTCCAAATTAATTAAAATCTATGTATTAAAAGATGGCAAACCCATCTTAGCAGGGTTTATTGATCTCTGTCACAAATATATAAATGCGATGTGGAACATAATGTGGGATATTTGAAACTGCAGCCAAAAGGCAATTTTTTCATAGATCAAATCATAAGCATAAATCATCCTGATAGCATTAATGTTTTACCCATGAGAAAAAAGTACAGAAAATTAACCTTCATAGTACAGTTGAGGATATTAAAATGATAATGTTAAAATTTTTTTCTGTTCTCTCAGGATACTAATGCTAAAGTCGCTGGTAAAAATGTCTCGACATTTACATATCATCTTATTTTAATATTTTGCTACAGTGAGATGATGCTCCAGAGAACGTGTGTGAGGACTACTTTCATTAAGGCCCTCAGCTGCCAGCTGCGTCTGAGCAAATCCAGGCCCGGGATTGACCTAAGCCCAGTGTCAGGATGCAAACCTGGATTGCAATTGGGGGTGGAAAGGAGGCTTCTCACTGTCCCTTAGCTGCTTACAGCAGTGACAGCTGTGAATCGATCAAAACCTTCCTGAAACCTTTTGATATTTGCAGCGTGACTGTGTCAGGAATTCAGTCACAGAGGGAAAGAGGACTGCAGCCAGGAAAGTTCAGGCAGAAGGACTTCCATGGGCTTCTGGGAGCTGGTTCTGAGCCCCAAGCTGGGCTCCTGCTATGCGCGATGCGGAGCCCTGGTGTCACTGTTCCAGCACTGGAAGGGCATGCTGCAGTGGTGATGTCATCACGCCCTGATCTCTTGCTGAATTCCTCTGGTGTTAGGGTGAGCGGCAGAGCAACCTACAGCCCCCACTCACTAATAAACAAGGAAAGAGCAGCCCAAAACCCAAGAGTTCGGAAATACAACTACCTATGTGTGATCACCTGTGAATTACACATACCCAACAATATTGGACAATGAAAGAACTCAATAATGAACACCAGCAACAAAAGAGAAGGCTAAGAGCCAACAAGTGTGAAAAGCACAACTGTCCATTTCTGATCTGCTATGAATTACACTTTCATTTCAGGCCTAGCACTAGAAAACGGCTTGCTTCTCCGCTCTGCTCTTTAAATGGCCTGTAGCTACTTTCGATTGCTACCTTTGCTATGATGCTCTTTGGTAATGATGGGTTAAAGCTTTCTAATTTCTGGGAAGGAAAACTGATTGTATAAGCTCTTTGTGAAGAATTCCAGGGGAAATTCTGTTCTAACGAGGTTATATCATAAGGCACATTACACCGTACGAATCCCTGACACTTTTAGGATCCTATGCTTGAGTGATGTCTTACTGCAGTGGAGTTTGGACATGTTGTACCTCATAAATTATTTATTTATAATAACCAAGGTTCAATGCGAAGAGAAAAAAGCTTGAACAAGCTTCACTCGTAACTCATCTTGGGTTCCAACCAAGGGACAGAGCCGAGAGGGAAGGACAGAGCTGTTTCAGGAGGAAGGGCTTCTCCTTCTGCTTGTATCTGCTCTGTACGACAGCTTCCAAAGCAGCAGCCTATGAAAGGTCCCCAGAGCTGAGGACAAGACAAACCTCTAGAACAAAGTCAGGCTTAGTGACAGGGAGGTAACAGGATAAGACTCTACTTCCTACAAGGCTTCGTCAACAAATATGGTGGATATTCACTTAAAAATGTACCGCAGTAGAAGATACATGGCCATGAATCCCCCTCAGAACACTCCCACTTGCTTCAAACACGCTGATCCCATCGTTCGGCCACTTCCGGAAGCAGATCTGAAAGCCCTCTTTTGAGTATCTTGTGTCTAGCTGCCATGGCTGCCTCGATGTCCTGAGTGGATTCAAAACATTTAACTTTCACGATAACTTTGACTTTGGGAAGAGCCAGAAATTGCTCAGTGCCAGATCTGGTGAACAAGATGAGTGAGGACACACCGTGATGTTTCCATCTGATTGGAACTGGCCTAACTGATTAGAGAAGTACGATCAAATGATACAGTGAATGTTTAAATAACAATGTTATTACGGTGAGAGACATACCACCTCTCGGAATACTCTCTTGCATTTTGGACACACTTCATCCCATTGCTCTTGGGGATGTGTTTTATTGAAATAAATTAAAAAAAATTTTTTTGGTACTGGGGATCGAATTCACGACCTCACACCTGCCAGGCAGGTGCTTATGCCACTGAGCTAAACCTCCAGCACCAATTTAAAACAATTTTTAAGTATTCACTGTATTTCTTGATCACCTATTGTAAATCAAAGTTTCATTAGGATGATTGGAATTTTATTTGTAAGATTCCAAAGTGAGCCAGACTCATTTGCTTTGTTTGCCTGGCCTAGTAATAAAGACGAGAGATGCAATGGCCATAATTTGCAGTTATCTAAGTGTAGTCTTTCCTGATTCTCAGTGTGATTATAGAGCGGTAGAATCTGACTTAAGTTCTGTGATAAGAGTGAGACCTCTGTGGCACAGTACAACTCTGCAGGGAGCCTCACCCTCTAATTTTCCTGCTTACTTTGTCAAGCTTTAGAACTGGCCATATGCACAATTTCTAGGTAGGGCAAGCTTGGCCATGAAAAGCCACAATGTTAGGTTTTATAGTGAATTAGGAATAAAGCATATGGAGCCAAAAATTTGATTAGCCAAAAAATGTCTTTCTGAATAGATATTAAAATTTTTGCTTATGGTCTGTACATTTAGATATAGACTTTTCTTGACCAGCAATGATGGCTATTTCTTAAATAGACTAATAAAGTGAAACCATGATGTTTATCACTCCAATGCAGATAGTCTACAGAGCAAAAGAGCAGCTAGGAATAATTATGCTGGGATAACGCAGCAGGCCAGACCTGTCCCAGAAAGATTCACGGGTAACTAGGCCACCAAAAAGACTTCCTGCCCTACCAAGAATGTACGGCCAAGGAGAGGGCACAGTCACACATGGTGAAATAGTGGCAGGAGATGACAGGGCGTAAGAAAGTAAGAATCTCTAGAAACATTTTTTTCCTGTTGTTGGAAACGGTTTGCACAGTCCAACATTAAGATTGTTTACAGAGGACTTTTTAATTGCAAAGAAAAGTCCAGCTCTTCCTTTGCAACTTGAGGGAAGAGCAAAGAGAGGAAAGAAATGAAAAGTAGCGTGGTGAGCCCCGCAGTACAGCGGGGCTCTTTCCCTTTGGTTTTAAGGAGCAGTGAGAAGCCAGCAGAGACAAGAGAAATGTGATGTTTGTAGTCTTTGGTAGGATGAGAAGGAGGAAGAAGATATTTGTTCTTTTGGGAATTGGTGACACAGGTTGAGTATCACTAATCCAGAAACCCTAAATGTCCTATCCTCCAAACCTTTCTGAGCACTGACATGACCCCACAAAGTAGAGGTCATCGCAACAGAGATGTGCCACGTACACTGTATGAAATTATCATCAGGCTATGGTGTAAGGTGCCTACAAGACTTAAGTGAGTTTTGTGTTTAAATTTAGGTGTCAACCCAGGATACCTCATTTCGTATATGCAAATACTCTAAAATCGGAAAAACTCCAAAATCCAAAATACTTATGGACCCGAGCATTTCAGATAACAGCACAGGATCAATGTTCAAATAATTCATATGAAAACCTAAGGGCGGCATTGCCCAAAACTTAAAATATTTTCTTGGCATGGTTCTGCATCATATATGCAAGTTTAAGCTTATACGGAATTAAGTCAACGGGAAAAGAATTTCTTTCTGCAGAGTTTAAACATATCTAACACAGATTCTCCCGATTATATGTCAATTTTGTAGATAGAACTTAAGAAGCTACCAGTATTCTAATGTATTTTTATTGTGCATTTCACAATCCAGATACCGAGATTACTTGATACGTTCTATAAGGTGGCCTTGTTCAGGAATTTTTTCCTGTATATAGCATTTGTTTCTCCAATTTCACTGTAAAGTCTGGGGATCAGACAAGACTTGTCATGCATTCCTCTCATGGAGGGCTTCCCAGAGTTCTAGACACACAGGGGGTTTTGCATATTCCTGCTGATTGGTGTGGGGCCTTGAGTTCCCACGCCTGGGCCCTGTGCTCATTGCTCTGAAATCAGAGGGCCTGCCTGCTTTCTGAGTGGATGATCCTTCCCTTCTCTGTCTTCCTTCAGTTCCCACATGATCTGTAGAAGACCTCAGAAGGTAGGAGGTGTTTCTAGCTTATTTTTCATAAGCATGTACCTGTCAGTTCTGTTTAATGGGGCTCTGGTATCCTATGGCTGTCTTCATTTGTTTAAAATCACATTTCCCCCCCAGGAATACATCTTTATTAAGATGTCCTGTGCACGCACATTAAAATGTCAGCATAATCTAATTATGTCTCAAATGAGGCACAGCAGCATTTAAATCATTTGATAAATTTCCATCATTGGCAGGGGACTGACGACTTGAATCCAAACATTTCTTGACAGCCTTGATAGTTCAGTAGTTCTTGACAGCCCAGACTTGTGCGTGGAGGGGTATTTTTTTTTTTTTTTTAATTTGGGAATTGTAGCCTAGTTTTGAAACATGCATGACTCTTTTTAGCTTAACCATGGTTGTAAAGAAAAGACCATAGGGGTCATCACTAGTCAGGGAAAACGTCAAAAGACTCCCAGCTTTCACTAGTATTCTTTCTATGTTTCCTAACCCCAATGCTTTTTTTTAATAGGAAAAAAATTAAGACACATAAGAATAAATAGATCCAAAGCTAAATGTTACATTTATGACTTAAAGTAATAATAGCAGAGGTGGTTCACAACCAAAATTGTGATCCTTGCCCTTTTTTAGGGGGGTTATATGTGAGTTTTATGATCATTGTATTAAAAAAGTAAATAAAAATTCCATTTCAAGATGAAGAGAAGTAAATGAGCTTTTTATTAGATAATTTTTAAAAAGTATTGCTCTTAAGTTTTTAGTGATGGGAGGAAACATCTTCATTCTTGGAGGCAGGAAATGTACAGAGGACGAAATGCTCCCTCATTGTTCCAAAAAGAGCTGATATCTACCCAGACACCTCAAGTTCTGGTTTCCTGGGTTTCTTCCCATGACGTACTTTCTGTGTTTCACTTACACCCCATTTAGTGTTCCGAACTAGCAGGGCAGAGGGGAGTAGGAAGAGCAAAGAGCTTGCCCTCTTCGGGCTTCCTGAGAGTTGTGACCTGAAACACTGCTGTGACCTCAGCAATGTCAGGAGAGCAGGCTGGAAGCAGAGTGTAGGGTGTGGCTGGAGAGCTAGGGCACAGGACAAGGGAGCACAGGCAGGAAGCTGCTGCTCTGCAGCTGCAAGGGGAGAGGGGATGAAGAGCTGCCGGCAGGGCAGGGAGGGAGGAGCAGAGGAAGGACTGGGACGTGGAGGCAGGCCGGTCTGCTGGCGTCGCCACAGGTGACGGGAAAAGCAATGAACATAAACCGCCCTGCAGGGGAGGACAGACTCAAAATTCTTTCAGGATGCCAGGGAGTCTCAGGTCACCACAGAGAGGAGCTGGGGAGTAACACATCACGGGCTTTGTCCTCAGTAATACAGCTTTGTATTGGTCTGAAACCACAGAAGAGAAGGGAAGGGCTAACAAAGAGAAGGACGCATCTCTTCAGGCTCCCAAAAGGAGCAAAGCAAAGACGCGAGGAAGCGATTTTAGCAATGCCGCCACGTGTTTCTTTCTTCAGAGTGGGAGCTCTAGGGTGTCTTGCTCCCCACTTGTTCATATTCTTCTTAATTCGGCATTAGATTTGTGAGAGCAGGGCACAGGGCTCATCTCTGAGCCACCCCTCGGGGCTGTGAGCAGAGGGGATATGAATAAATACTCAGCTGCGAAGGAGGAAAGGCAGTAAGATCTGTGCTGATGTCTTTGCAAAAACTTTTCAGTTTAATGTTGCTAATCCCCTAAATTCATCCCCTGCACTTTAGAGCTAAAAACGATCACTTTGTTCTTCCTCTGCGGTAGCTGACTTCTAATGACACGGCCTTCTGAAGAGATTTCACTTGTTTATCCAGAAGGAGAAGAATGAAACCCAGGAACTCGGATGCAGCCGCTTATTTAAAAGTGAAAGCGTAGGTTCATCGTGATAAAAATGATCACTCAGTGGCCTGCGGTCCTATTTTAGCAACCAAAACTAGTTCTACCAAGCGCTGGAGAGGGTGGGGAAAAGGTATTATGCCTGCTTTTCCTTTGACCAGCTGGATGTGTAACGCTCAGTCCCTGAGCTCATCAACACAGTAGGCAGATTTGAGATTCTCTGAGATTACACACAACTGTAAACTTCTTTTTCATGCTACATCTGATAAAGTTGGAAACAAGATATTGGCGGGACGCTAGCAGAAAGGAACTCAGCAGTTTGCACAGGGGAGCATCATAAGCCCTTTGCGCTAGGCTAGCTTCCCATGCGCTCAGGCTCTTATTACCCAGTGTACAGCACCCTCAGGCCATTTAGATTTCTGTCCTCTCACACATGCAGGACGTGACCTCCAGGGGATGGAAAGAGGCACCACAGATGTACACGCAATATTAAAAGCCTTTGTTTTCCATTATTTATAAAGTATAATGAAATAATTCTGGAAGACCTTCAACAAGGGTGACAAGCGCAGACATGCTGTTTCTAGACACTGTTCAAGTGGACCCAAACGCATCAATGAGAAGCAGAGGATCTGTAGAAATGATGGGCACCTGCTCTGCTCTGCCTTGGAAGCAGGTGATTTCAGAGCTGTGCGCTGCAAAGACTTAGCTGACACCGGATGCAGGGCTCTGGCTTTGTCAGTGACTGCCTTCAAAGCTCTCAGAAAAACACCCACGCTTTGGTCAAGATCAGATTCAACAGACTACAAGTTCCAAATGATTTTTCTTTGGTGATTTACATAAAACTAGCAAATGCCCCCACTCCAAAGTTCCTGATTCTCTTCAATGGTTTAGGGGAAAAAATAGGAAATAAAATTTCAAAACAAAAGACATATTCCACTTTTATAATCAACAGGATCTTTAAGTCAATGGGTAGAAAGTTTCAGTTAGATTGGAGGACTCTAAGTTCTACTACACAACACTTAATAATAACGTATCTTTCCAGAATGGTTAAAAGATGTTTCTCAGTGTTCCCAGCACAAAGAAATGGTCAACACTTGACATGCTAGCTAGCCTGATTTGACCACTCCAAAATGAAAAATGTTCAGATTATACCCCATAAATGTACATGATTATTTGTCAATTAAAAATGAAACCATAAAAATGGGGAAAAACAAGCTTTTGAGAGAACTTCAGACCAGCTGAATTCACTTCGGAGACACTTTGAAGCTCAGAATATCAAAGCATGCCAGTGCTTTTGGCCTCCATGTGTCTCCTGGCAGGGCACCAGCTGAGACTAATGCACCCTGGTTTTTGTGGCTTTCACTTACGCCTACTTTCATAAATGGCTCTCGACTTCTCGTAGAGCTCGTATGGGTCAGGCTTCCGTGGGTCAAAGGCCTCTGTTGAGTCCGGAAAGGAGCTCCTGTGGAGGGCGGGGGGGAAGGGTAGGTTCTGTGGTACGGCCGGAGCAGATAGGCTGGTTTGAGGACTGCCTTGACTCTCCCATCGGTCCATCATCTGCAAAGCAGGAGGGAACAGAGAACGTGACTGGGGAATTTGGGTTCTTCCTGCTGATTTCCCTCACTGCCTTTAAGCCAGACTCTTCTGCCTGGTTCACTTCACTTCCAAGAAGCACCGCAAACTTTGGCATGCATGCCTTCCTGGAAAATACTCTACTTCTGCATAATAAAGCATCATAGGCTGTTGTAAATAAAAGTAGCACCTTCTTTGGGATGGAAACCTTGTCACCTATGAGCAGGTAATCTTTAGCAGATCACTTAATTTATCTAAATTTTTTCCTTTATAAAATAAAGATAACATGTCCCTCAAGATGATTTATGGGTAACTGCTCAGAAGTGGATGGTATTCTATTTTCCTTTTCTAAGAGGGTCTCCATTTATTATACCACTGTCCTAAAACAGAAGATAAAGCAGTCGTGCATATTGTTTGCCATCTACACACACCCCAGCCGCCTAAAGGTCCAGTCCCTTCCTTCTGGGTTACAGGCAATTCTACAGCTGTCCGGGATCAGGGGCTGCTCAGCTTTCTAGGAAGTCGTAATTGACTGCTGGTCTGGTGACATCTCCCCTAAAATGTAGCTACTACTGCTGGTAGCACTTTCCCTGCAGCTGTGACCTTGGATTCTCACCGTAGCATGGCAAGGTAGATAAAGCAAGGATGAGTACTGGTCTGTTATTAAGGATTTGACTGTCTATCAAGGTCATCTTAGGACACCTGTCTCCCAGGTATCCTGAGATGACCTATCATCACTACCAATTCCACCTTCAGCCATTAACTGACATCGCATGCAAACCCAATGTTTGCCTTCCTGCTGTGAATACACCTGCAGCGTGTATAAAAGTTAGAGCAAGTTATCTTGCTACCTACAATTCTGCACTGGGTCAGCATGGTCCTGCAGACTGAGGTTGAAGACCCTTGTTCATGTGGCATGCTCTACAGGACCCAGGTCCTGCTCACCTAGCTTGTGCCTACTGAGAGCTCTCCTGAGCACCACTGGCACCCACAGCATTTGCTCCTGCCTCTGAAGCTCCACGTACCGTGCTTCTCCTTTTACCTGAAGCATCCAGCCCGCTCCTACTTCCCGATCCCCACCCTCACTTCCCTGTACTGGGTTCAGAACCAGCCATTTCCCTTCCCAGGGGTCTCTGCTGACCACCGTGTCCACGCTGGCTGCTCCTAGTGTGACCACTGCTGGTGCCCCTCTTCATGCCCACTGTACTTAAGAGTCCAATCATTCTTGTCTCCTAAATATAGTGTGCTGGGGTCAGGGGCTGTGCCTCTCCACTGTCATATTACAGAACACAGTAAGTGCTCAGAAAACATTCATCTTGCAAGTGAATAAAATCACGATTGAAACAGGGACACCTTGTAAAACAATTAGTTTCCATACACAATGCATTGCATTTGGAGGAGTAGCTGGAACCCCAAATGGACGGCATTTGGATCCTAACTTTGTCTTCTACTTTGCAGTCTGCTCCCCCCCCCCCCCCACTGGCTTTATTTTGGTCCAGGATTTCCATCCACTGCAAGGGAAGGGAAGGACTGTGTAGCCTGTGGTTTTCAAGCTGTGTATACAGGAGCCCTTGTGAACACCAGGGATCCCTGTAGCCCTCTTGAGGACAGAGGCTTGGGCTCAGCCAGGAAACTGGGAAAGCAATGGGTCACTGACCTTTACTTCAGGAAGACTGGCTTACGTTGTTTTCTACATGGCTACTGCCTGAGATTGCATTTGATCAGTTTCTGTAGCTAATGAGGATGATGAGCCTGGTCTCGTTCCAGTCCCTCATATTAAATAGGATCTCTAGAAGCACAGCGGTGGCCAGGGGCTTGTCTGAGCCCCAGCAGCCGGTGAGAACCAGCCTGTAAACAGGTCAAGCTTGTTGATGGCACAACACAAACTGGTGAACAACTAGCAAATACAGACGGGGTTCCAGCTCCTCCTCTGCTCCTGGTTAGTAAAGTCCTCCAACTCGTACTTCATGATTCACTGAACAGCAAGGCCTGCACAGGAAGCCATTCTGGCTCCTTTGGCTGTTCACTGTAGACGATTTGCTGGGAGGCAGACAGGCTTACATTACTCCTTGTGTGTTTGTTTTTTGCTAAACTTTAACTGACTTTGGGTACTATGCAGATACCTTGTGGCTCTTACTTTTCCACTTTGGTTTCCAAACTTTTGATACTGACTGCTGAAATGTAAGTTAGAAAATGGCCTGAGATGCTGTAGAATCCCCCTTGCCAACGTGGGGTCTCAGTAAACCTCTGTTTCTTCCATCCCCCACCGAGGGTTATCGGAAACCTGCATGCATCTTGCAGGCTATGGAGCTTGTGTGTAGTAATTGAAGGAAACATGCTTTGGGTGAAATAGTGGTGTTTCTAAAACAGTCATAAACTACAGAACAAATAACACTTTGGGTACTGTTTGGGAAATTTTCTGTGGCACATTGACAAATTCTACCATTTCTATAGCATAGAGATCGGGAAATTAGTCAAGAGTTCAGTTCATGCTTAGTAAGGCACTGACAGCTTCTTGCTGTGACATTCATCAACCCTCCATTCACTCCGTCAGGGTTTCTTAAAAAACTGTAGAGCAGAAAATCGCTGTGCCCATTGAGAAAAGCAGACTTACAGCCCCCTGGCCCTGCCTCACTCCCTCCAGATGAAGTCTCCTGTTAGCGCCAGCCCAGGAGACTGTGGGGTGCAGGAGAGAGGTGGCCCCTCTGCTAGGCCTGGTGGCTGGAGCAGGCTGCACCTCTGGGAAGGCGAGGGCGCCTTCAGATGACTGCTGCCTATTTCTCTAGGCGCCTTGGTCTTTGGCCTTCTGCTTTCTACCTGGGACACTCTGTGTTCCTTGCTACCATCGCGAGTCTCCTGAATTCTGATCCTGTCCTATGCCCAGGGCCCAGGCCTCACTTGCTCTAAGATGTATCTTTCTGGTATCTAGAGTATGTGCTACCTGCCAGGCTCTTCACTCTCAACTAGGAATTGTATTGGCTTTTTCTGTTCCATCCCAGAGCTGTTCGTATCTGGGTGAACATAAACATCTTACTAGAGTAGGGGATAATGGAGCAGAAGTCGCTTTCTGTGTCTGGGAGAAGACTTGTACCCCTGCTGGCTTTAGACAGTGGGTGAGTGAGTGAAGGATGCTCTGATAGTATGCAGGCTAAGTCCCTGGGACATCCGCGGACACAGTGACCATACCGAGGCATCGAATGGTAAAACAGAAAAGTTCGATCATGAGTATGATTCATTGTTTAAACCCAGCTTTGATTCCAGCACATACACAGGGAACAGAGAATCAGTGAATAAGGTGACCCCTTCCCTGAGCACTCTGCGCTGACCTTGTGCTGAGTACACTCCCATGGTTATCTCAGGCAGGGTTCTGAGATGGAGGCACTGGGCTTAATTCCACTCTTGAAAAGGAACTTTGATTCCTTTCAGATTTAAAAGAATGAAAACCCACTCAGGAGTACATTACTTGTTAAACAGGAAGTGGCTGTCTTGACATGGATTAGCTCAAGAAGTGGATCAGCAGGACAGAAGAGGGTCAGTGAGTGGCCAACGACCAGGAGGAGGCTAAGTCTCACCTTTTACAGTATTTCCTGACTCTGACTAAGTACATCATCAGCCCTCTTTAAAGGAGAATGTGCATACACCTAAGTACTGGGGGGTATTTTGTATATTTGTTTCAATGACTGTTCAGCCACGTGGCTTCATGTCACAGAGTGACTGATTTATTAAGGGCTTATGCACAGATGGTCTAACTATGGGGACAGGGGTTTATACTTTTGAGTTTAACATGCAGAGGCCCTTATTAAGTACCTTATGTGGATTAGCTCATAGAATACTTGTAATAGCCCCAGGAGAGCCGTTTTATTCTCTTTGTTTTATAGAAGTAGGGCTGGAGAGGCTGAGAACTTTAGCAGCTACTTCAAGGTCAGATAGTAAGAGAGGAGAAGTAAGACTTGAACCCAGGCCATGCACACGCCGTCAGAGTCAGCACCTTTAATGATTAGAACATATGTACGGCTGCTCATTATAGCTCTCAGTCTAAAGGGTCTCTGGCAGATACATGGAGGACATTAAATCAAAAGTTCTCTCTCCATCTTGGAAGACCTGGAGGCCCAAGCCTTCCATTTTGCAGATATGCACAGGAAAAGGATTAACTGTACACTGAGTTGTATAAAACCTTTTTGGGAATTATTGACTAGGATGTAATTACTATAATGACAGCAAATGCTGTAATTATGTCAAATGACATAATTTGTGTAGTAAATGTGGGACATATAAGGAAATCACTAGATTGCATAATTGTTGTGCTATGACAAGGTTGCCAAGTTGCCTGTTATATTAGGTAAAGAAGTGGATAACCACAGAGCTCAGATTGAAGTTTGGTAGTGAAAGGAAGAACCTATTTAGAAGCTGGACAAGATCAACCATTTTCAATATTTAAAATGACAGGCATCACTACGTGATTTGCCTAGGGCTGCTTTGCCTATCTGAGGGTGTCTGCATACAAATGAGCCAAACCCGAAGTCAGAGGACTGGTGAGAGCCTCCCGTGTTCCCACGGTTCCCTTCCCCTTGTGGGACTTGGCCATTGCTGTCAGGGTTGAGTAGTCCAAGGCACCAGAAAGTGGAATCCCAGAAAATCAGGCCCAGCTCTTGGGGGTTGAGCAATCAATAAAGCTCTGGTTTGGGTGCTGAATGCCCCCGAGGCTGATGTGCTTAAAGCTTGGTGCCCACTAGGGCGCCATTGGAAAGTGGCAGAAGCCTGGGGAGGTGGGGGAAGTGGGAGGTGCTTAGGTCACGTGGGTGTGACCTTGAAAGGGATTGTGGGATGTTGGCCCCTTCCTCCCTTCACTCTCTGGCTCATGCTGAGAGTGTCTTTGCTTCCCCATGCTCTGCGATGAGGGGCTGTCTCACCACAGGCCCAAATCAACAGGGTGAGCTACACAAACATGGACAGGTACTTTCACTACTGGGCCAAGATCGGGTTTTTTTCCCTATTGGTTGTTTTGGTTATATAATTATGTCATAAAGAAGTAAAATGTCTCCTGAGAGCCTTACGTGTTCAGAGGCTTTGAGAAGGTGACGGAACACAGGAGCTACACTCATCAGTGGATTAACCGCAGGTGAGTGTGGCCTGGTGGGAAGAGACCGATCACTAGGGCTGTGATCCTCCAGGGTCTAATCTCCTCCCTGGTTCCTTCCTTCTCTTTCTGCTCCTCAGCTTCCATGAGTCGAGTTGCTGTCCTCTGCGAAGCCATCCACCATGCTGTTTCTCCCTTGATACTGGCTGACCATGGACTGAACCCACCGAAAACTGTGAGCCACATAAATCTCTCCTCTGCTAAATTGTGGGTGTCACGCATTTTTGTCTTTGGGATGGGACAGTAACTAAAATACTAGGTTTTCATTATCTAAGGCATTTCATTAGAATGCTGGAAAGCTGACACAAGAAATTCCAACTCAATGGCAAATTAAGACTGGTTCCAATGTTAAGTCAACTTGGCCAACCAATCCTCACAGAACCATTGATAAAACTCATGAGCCTCAAAAACCAGGTAACAGGAAATCAACAATGGCTATCCTGCAATGCTTTTATTCCTTTCTTTTGATTGGTTTTAGTCTGGTTTGCTTTGTTTGATTTTATTATGTCTGATGGTATGGACAGAAAAAAAGAGATGACATTATAGTACCATTGTTGATTTCCTATTGTCTTGATTTGAAGTTCTATATCACCTTCATTGTTCTGCTTTGGTTAGTTTTAGTCTGTTTTATTTTATTCTCTTTGAAATAAAAAAAATAAAAAAATAATAACTCACTAGCCTCATACATTAGCATAAAAATTTCAGCATGTTACATAAGGGACCTAGACCAAGAAAGGTTAGATGATGGTAGAGATCACCTATTATTTCAGAAAGATTTAGAAGTACTACTTTGCATAATTATCAGATTTGTGATATGTATTACACAGATGTAATATGTAATATATATGTATAATATTGCATAGAACTAATATATACATATATACATGGATCTAAAATAAATACACGAGTTGGGTGTGGTGGTATGCACCTAAAATCCCAGCACTCGGGAGGTTGAGGCAGGAGGATCATTGAGAATTCGAGACCAGCCTGGGCTATAAGGTGAACTGAAAGCCAGCCTGGACTTCACAATGAGACCTTGTCTCAAAAAGACAAAAAAAGTAAACACTTGTACATGCACATAGTGTGTGTGTATATATTTTATTTAGCTCTTCGGCCATATATGTTTTTATATATCTGAGACATTACAGTGTTAGATGTATATGTGAAGTATAAGTATAAATATATAAGTATATATAAAGTTAAATTTCTTTCTTTTTTTGTGTGTTTTTGAGACGGGGTCTCACTATGCAGTTCAGGCTGGCCTTGAGCTCACTTTGTAGCCCAGGCTAGCTTTGAACTCACAACGATCCTCCTGCCTCAGCCTCCCGAGTGCTGGGATTACAGGTGGGAGCCACCACGCCCAGAAAAAGTTAAATTTCTTGTAGCTCAGATTTAATTTGCAGGGCAAGACCTCTGAGCCTATAGTTTATATTGTTTTTAAACATTACAATTATAAACAAAATACAATGTGCGTTTCAGGGGAAAAAAGAAAAGATTTCAGAAGTATTGTCATTACATGCGACTGGATAGTATGTTTACTTTGTAAGTCTATGTAAAAATGGGAATGATTATCTGCATATGAAAGCAAGATGAACTGGTTTTTGATGTAGAGGGCAAATATAAGATAAGAGCACACAGAAAATTTGTCCTCTGGCATCACAGACCCTCACAGGTGCAAGAGATTTAAAGGTCATTCAATTCAACCCTCATTAAATAGGATTATATGATAGCCAGAAATAAAGAAAGAAGAATAACAATTCCAACTCACAGGCTTTGGAGTTTTCCATGGAGAAAAGAAACCTGCAACAAAGAGAACAACATTTGAAGTGTGAAAACATATCCCACCACCACGTATGCATGGTATGATATCATTCTAATTCACTTTAAAATAGTTTACAGCAATAGCAAGAACGAATTTCTACATGACTGCAAATTATTTTTGAGGAGCTCAAATTATTTCATTGGAATTATATTAGTGATTCTAAGAACATTTTCTTAATTGACCACAGAGGATCCTGAAACACAGAGAAGGCCACTGATTATGTGGCAAACAGCTACTCCAGAAGGCTCCAGACTAAGTCACCCCTAGGGATTGCACCACTCGGGCTTAGCCTGAGACACAGCGTCTACACGATAAAATTTAGGTTTACCTCTGCTCGGGGTAAGACATGATTCTGCTTTGTATACCTACTTTATATAGTTAAAAATCAATCTGCAAGCCTTTGCTATTCCTAAACTTAAAAATAATGTTATGTAGGTCTGTTATAAATCAAATAAACCAAATTGAATAAATCAAATATTATCAAATCAGATAAATCAAATCCCACTATAAATTTTTATGTGTCTTCCCTGTCTGATATCTCTAGTGCAAATTTTTATTTTATTATCCTTCTACCCCAGTGCTAGTGTAATGTCTCACAAAGAAGCTCAAAATGTTTGCTAATTGAATGAACAGTATACCATGGAAGCCTTTTTATAAACTTAAACCCTTTCTATTACCACAAATTAGATTAGACAGACTCCATTAAGGACACATTAATTTCCTCTACAAAAAGCACTGTTTTATCACATAGGTTCATTTTTTTAAAAGGCAGTAAAAACAAGCTCAAAATAACAGAGGGAACAGGACTGATATACTGGTCCTAACTACCCAAAACTTAATCTAGCAGATAAAACAAAATTGCTTTCTTTTTCTAGAATATCCTTCCTCTTTCAATAATTTTTTTGCTCAAGTTAATATTAGGTGATGTCTGATAAAATGTCGAACAAGAATGAAATATGTACTTCATTGCATGCCATTCGCCATGTTTATCGTCTTTAAAACAGAGATGACCACAATGGGCGTGGTTGATAACCATAATTCGTTTATACAGGAGAGAGCTACAGAAATCCAGATACACAATCACCTGGTAAGCAACCCAACTCAAGCATGCAAGAACACCAATGGCAGCGCAGTGTACACTGTGATGAACGGATGGTTTTACACAAAGAGCGAGACCACAGGATTCTCCAGGTCTGTCAGCCTCTCTGGAACCCAGAGTGGCAGTGATGTTCACACAGCGCCATCTCCACCATGAAGCCTGGGTAGAGTCAGCTTTCTTTCTGCCCCACAAATTAGTTCTCATTTCTCTTTTTCACTAATGAAAAAAATTCTTTTCAATGTGTGATTTGATTATAATTTAATTATAAGGATTTAATGGTATACTGTTTTTTTGGAAAGAGCCAAGAGTAAAAATTACAGATAAATGAGCACATTTCTCTTCTGGATTCTTTCTGTAAAATGCCAATGAAAACAATTTAACCCCTGAGCTGAAAAGCAAAAGACTTTTAACCCACTGACTAAGTAATCATTATATTCAGAGAGGGATAAAATTAACTTGCTGTTTCATGGAATTGCCAGCAACCATTTTTTTTTTTCTTTTACTTCTTTTCTTTTTTGTGGAAAGATGTCATTTACACATTTGTACAATATCAAAATGTTCAATTATTTCCCTGCTTCCTTTGTGCTGCTCCTTCCTGGGAGGGGAGACAGGTTTTGAGCCTTTACTATTTTACGTTTGATTAGTGCTGGGAGTTTCTCAGACTTTGTGTGGAAAAGGCTCTTCTATTACAGAGCTCTCCTCTCCACACGAAGCACTACTTTTTACAAAAAGATCCTCCCCCTCGGGAAAATGCATGGCCACCTGACCGCTGCTCAGTGGCTACAGTGCCAGAACCAAACTGGCCCAAGAGGGAGACTGGCTAAGAACAGACACAGAGAGAGCATGCTGAGTTTGACACCTTTCCTCTTCCTGCGGGCAGAGGCGCTTTGCTTCCCACTCTGAAGCCCGTTTCACTCAGTCTGATCTCAGTCCATTCCCGGGCAGTGGTGGGGACGTCACTGACCCTGAGTTAAGCTGCCGTGGCGCTCAACTCTGAAGCAAGGGTTGCCTGATGTATTATCAAGAAGCATTTTAGGTAAAACTTTTAGATTTCCCTAAAACCAAATAATTCATGCGACCCTCTGTGTTTCTTTGGCAATTTATTAATTAGGATATAAACCATTTAAATTAAGATGAATAGGAAACATCTATTTTGGATACTGAATTTGGTCCCGATTCAGTCAGAAGGTCATGTTTTCTACGTGATTACACTCCAATTTTCTGCTTAACTTCACTAGAAGAGAAATGGAAATACTGTAACAGTGTGACTCAAACTATTATATGCTGTGAATGTGCTCTAACTTCTTCTAGAGATGGCCCTTCTAGGAAGTCTATTTCAATTAACATTTGAAAAAACCCCACCAAAATCCAAATCAGAGCTTGCTGTAGGAAACACATAGACACCTCTATTGAGTGTATGTCTGAAATGATCCTCGTAGGAGAAGAGCATAGGAAGGAAGAATTTGGAGGCCTAGGAAGGTTTACTTTACACACACACGCACACACGCACACACACACACACACCCCTGTGTGCTCTATGCTGAATCACCACACTCTGAATGTATGGAATAATTTCTATTTGGCAGGACTTTTTTTTTTTTTTGGTACTGGGGATCAAGCTCATGACCTTCAGTATGATATTTAAAACTGACTTGCTACATTTTATGTTTACAGCTCACCTCAGTGACCACAGGGTTGCCTGTTCCCTGGCTCCTAAAAAGCACCTCGCCTCATCTTTCTGTCTTAGCACTTTGCAAGGCTGGGTGTGTGGAGCCAAGAGCTATTTTGGGACTTCTCGCCACCCATTTTCGTGGAGATAGAGGAACAGAAACATAGACAACTTTTTCTTAAGCCTTTCAGAGCTAAAGGCATCCTTAACTACAAAGCCAACGTTATAGAAAAGCAACTTTTCATCTTTAAAATGAGAGCAGTTGTTCCTTTATGTTTTTGTCTCTAGGGTTTATTTTTCCTACTTCCAGAAGAAGCTGAGTATTAGAATTCTCCTGAGTAAAGTTCCTTTATAATAATTTGAGTAAACTTTCCCAAAGATCATTTATTTTTATCTCAAGCATTATGCATGTATACAAATTCAAACATATTTATTTAATCTTGAGTCTTCAAAACAACAAAAGCAAAAGACCTCAAGGTTACAAACTAAGTAAAATATGGGTAGAGACATAAAGCAAAAAAAAAAAAAAAAGACAATAAATGAGAAAATTTAGATGTATCTTAAAAGAAACTTCAAAACTGCATCAGAGGCAGACATAAAAGTAAAATTAGATTAATAATTTTATACCTAAAAGCACAGAGAGATCAACAGAGAAACAGCACCGAGAAAGCACAGCAGAGGCAAGAAATTCTGGTGGCTAAATGGAGGGGAAAGAAGGTAACATTGACTCAATACTGAAATTGAAACTGAATTTTGCATATCAGCTAAGTATAATTTTGAATAAACTACAGAAATATGATTTCCAGGTAAAATACAATCTGCCCAGATGAGTTTGGATTTCAGGTGGACAATAGTTTTTATTGTAGTTATTTCCCAATTGCAGCATGAGAAATACACTACCTGGCACACACATAAAAAGATATTTGTTATCTGAAATTCAATTTAACTAGGAATTCTGTATTTTTATCCGCTAAATCTGGCCAATCCATCAAAGAAACAACTCATCTATGTCCTTGGTAACCGTTTAAAAATAAAAGTAGAATCATGACATCTAGGTACCAGGTGAAATCCCATTCAATTCAGTTTAAAAAGCCCAGAAGATGTGTAATGTTTCCTTTACTGTTAGAAATCTCGCTGTAGACAAACTTCAGTGCACTGTTTTCTATAGCGATCGCTGGGCTGTGCAGTTGCCTGCTCAAGACCAGCGTGAACAAACCTGAAGGCCCAGCCCAGGGCAGTGCCTTCCCCCACGCGGAATGGCTCGGAGGGGGCGCTTTACAGACCTGATTTCTCCTGACACAGCGCCCGCAATGAGAGAATGGCAATATATTCCCAGCAGCCGCCAGGGAGAGGCCCTGCATGACCTGCTTGTGTGTGGGAATGTTTTATTTATTTTCACAGGGTAACACGGTGATCAACTTCCTGAATATCATCTCAGGTTGAACAAACAACCAAAACACAATGAAGCACAACTTTATCATCGTGCCATCCATTTGGAACTAGGCCAAGGTAAGTGTTTCGGGTTGTCAGGAATCCTCCCAAACAGAACCAAGTCTGAACGTGCCTCTGTATTCTGCTTGATACACTGAGCTCCTACTTGGAGCATGTAAAATTATTATTATTATTAATTATTATTCCTTTCACTGAAATATTGCCAAGGACATACGATTCTGGTTTTAAAGATTAGGACTTATTTTCATGTATTATATAGGGGATTCTATGATTGTTAAAAATGGCTGGAATGCTGGGAAAAGATTTTCTGTTTCTCTTTCTATTTCCATGCCTTGGTTATTAAAATCTGTTCTGTTTTGCTTAAAAATGAAGACTTAGCAATGTGAATACAGAAGGTATTATAGAAAAATACAGGAAAAGCTTAAATAAAAATTTTTATTATAGTAAAAGATACATCCCAATGAATTCCCCTCAAAACACTTTCCCTCACTTTGAACACACTTTTCTCTCCATCCTTCCAGTTCCTGGAGGAAGGGACCCAGGCAGAGCCTCCAAAGGACCGCAGGTTACAACGGGAACCCCATTCCTACCACAGTCCTGAGAATGCTTCAGAAGCTCGTCCAGATGATACTCTTAAAAGCTTTCCAAGGAGGGGAAGAAAGCCCCAGGGTTTTACAGTCCCCAGTTAGGGCTAATTTGGGAAAGAAAATCCCACTAATAAAGTTCATTCTTAATTTTCATTTTTTCTCAGCCTGGCA